GTATTGAGGGTTTTAAAGGTTTTCGGGTTTCGGGTTTAGGCATGGGGTTTAATCCTCAGGCTCCCAAGAGCCCAGTCACCTTGCTGGTAGGTTACTGCTCTACATATATGCATACATACATATATACAAGTATACATATATACAGATATGCAGTTATACAGATAAACATATATACATTTCAACCACACACATCCACACTCTTTTTGAAAGTTGATGATGATGCAGGCATGCAAGCGCTGCGGCTTGTCATTGGCTCAGTCGGCAAAGCGATCATGTTTCGGGGCGATGCCGAATTTACCTCCATCCCAGCATGCCCACGACTGGAATCATGTCTGATGAGGCAGCCAAACCTTTCAAAAAAGTTGCAGACACCGTGAGTATGCGGCTTAGCTGGGCCCATTTTGTGGAGAAGCAGAGCGCAGAACTTTGACACTCTCGGCTGGCTGCTGCTTCAGGAAAGAAAAGAAAAACGACTTTGGCACGGTTCAACGGAGAAGGGGGGAGTGCAATCCAGGCATCTTGGTAGTTGGCATTTGACGGGGCGACGGGGCGACGGGGCGATGCTTGCTTTTTATGTTCGATGTTGAAAGACCGGCAAGGAGTGTTTCCTTTCGGTTCCTCCCGGTGCTGTGGAGGGTGAGGCCAAACATCATAACTTGCATTGTCGTCACACATGCAGACATGTGTCAGGACTTCGTGGCAGAGATTTCGGCTGATGAATGCGTGATGACCTTGGCCGACTTTATGTCGTCATTGAGGATCCCTCCGTTACCACAGCTGAGTGTACTTCGATCCAGGCGATCGTCACCCTTCCGCACGGCAGGGCACTTTGAGCATGGCTGCCATGTCACACGTGCGCCCCACCGCTTCGTGCCCGTCGTGCTGTTCCGAGGTGTCGGACCTGGTGATCTGCTCCAAGTGAAAGTTTGCTACTCGGGCCAGGACGTGGCACGCACAGAAAGTTGCCAGCTTTCCTTCATTCGCAGCGCGAACGGAAAGAGGACACGCACCTTGAAGTCTTACAGCACATCCAACGTAAATGACTCAGCCCTGCTGTTCGTGGCGGTTGCTGTATGTTGCTGCTCGCGAACAAGTGCTGCACGCAGCAGGTCCGACGCTGCACAACCACAACCACAGAAAATTGAGGCCCGAGGGGTCGCAACGGTGAGTGTGCAACTGCGACTGGCCTGGGCAGGACTATCGGCAGTGTAGCCGGCTGCTGTGCTATGCTGGCAGGGCCGTGATTCGGCAGTCATCTTGTGCAGACCACGGCATGCCGATTGAGGGCTGTGTGCACTCGTGTGGTCGTGCAGGCCGTCACCATAGCGATTTTAGTGCCCAACTGGGTGGTCATTGGCGATGGAGCCGACCTCCGAGTTGGTTCACTGCGTGGGGTGTACTGTCGATCCCAGATTCAACCAGGGATGCATCGGTCGACGCGAGGCCAAGCAAGAACACATTGGACTATTGGCAATACAGCGGGAAGGCTTCACACAAACTTGGTCATACATCGCGAAACAGCCTGCCTTGTCGAGTTTAAACAGTCTGCGACATCGTGTGGTCTGGTTGTTCACGTGCTCTTGTTGCCAGGTGTGAAGCAGCATGCCTGGAAGACCTTCCGGCGGATCAGCTCCAATATCACCAGCAAAGGCACACGCTGTCCTGCCGCACATCCACAACGGCACCGATGTCACGCTGATGCAGGTGTCGCAGGGACTTCAGGCTGATCGGCATTCAGCGTCGCTCACGTGCGGGGCTGCTACTGCAACTGTGGCAGGTTGCGATCGCTTGCTTGGCCGGAATCTGATCGCTTCGTGCTGCGTGGAGTGTAGAATCTAGGGTGTGACCCGTTCTGCCTGGAGTGTGTGGATCGTAAATTGCAGGTCGTCCTTCCTGGGGATTCTGCTTGCGATGTTGGTTCAGATCTGGGCTGTGCTTTCTGTCACTGCCAAGCGGTTTCCCGGCCGCAAAATTGAAGCAGCAGAAGCATAAGGAGAATCAGGGTTCCTGCATCAATCAGCTGTTCAGGTTTTGGCATGCCGTGCTTGGACCTCGGGTCCAGTGAATCTTTGCTTCGCAGCCTGCGAAGCGGTTGCTTTTCGTTGGGCAGTCAGCTGAGGGCGCTTGGCCTCCTTTCAATGACACTGCACGGGTGCTGTGCTGCCGATGCGCTTTCTTCCATGTGGATTCAACTGACGACGTCTGTACAGGTGGGCTGTCGCGCACTTTCTGTTTGAGGCGATTCCGTCGAGATGTCGTAGGTCCACTGTTCCAGAAAGGACCCGCATTTTTGAAGCAGGTCGGGGGCATCTTTCCATCTTACAGACTGCGTTGGTCCATGTGGCTTTGGACTTTGTCATGTCAGATGGTCGGTGGCATGAACCGTCGCCCATGCCAGAAGCCAGATACGCTAAGGTTCGATGTTGCTGGTTTCACATTGCAGCTGACTGCTTTGCTTTTGGTGCCAAAGCCTCAAGACCCACCCATGGAGTTGAGGCGCCGTCTGCACTCACCGCTTTGGTTAAGGCTTGTGCTGCGAATGCGCGCTCAACAGAGCTCCCGACTCCTCGGTTTGGATTTCCACTTTTTAGAGGCAACGCTACTTGTAGCTGAGGTCCCAGAACGCTCCTGCTTTTGATTTGCGCCGCTCCTTGCAGGACGTCATGCTGCTGAGAGAAGCACAGGACAAGAGGGGACAGGGTGTCCGTCCAAGTAGTCCGAAGTATGTCCGTGTGTCTCGCTTCTGCTCCGAAGCGGCACACGCTTCCACGGATCGCCACGTACATGCGGAGTACTTGTTGTTCAGATTATCACGACCGCGAGGAGATGGCTCAAGCCACCCGCACGAACTGCACATGTTCTAAGTACAGCAACAGCAAGAAGCACGACAATCTTGCCCCGTTGACACTCCCGGGTTCCTTCAGTTTGCACCTTGTGCCTGATCCCTTTCCTTTTCAAAAGCAGGTTTTGCAGATGTCAAGGTTTTTTCGGTTTTCAGCTCTTTAAACTGGATGCAATCCGGAGAGTAGATGAATGGTTTCTCAGTCCCCTGTCGTGGCCTGGGGCAATGTCAGCTGCTTTTCAGAGACGCAGCCGTTTGACGCGTGCTGCCTTGCCGGGCTGCAGCAGCTTGCACTGCCCACCTTTAGTTTTTGAGAAATGTGGGGTGGCATCTTGCCCTTGCAGAGCCATAGCACACACAATCCTCAGGTTGTATGACACGACGAACCGATTGTGCATGTCCAGCTGCCAGCCACGGTCGTGCTTCCGTCAGAGATCGTGGCCTGTCAGCACTTCCGTCAGCGAGCACAAGCGTTGTCACTGAATGCTGCAGCTACCCGGCTCCCAGAGCGATTGCCCCGAAGGTACACAAGCTGCTGCCAAGCCGCGAGACCGCTGCGAGTGTATGGTCGCAGAAAGGACGGAAGTAGTTCTTGTACTGTGTTGAGTGTCATGTTTACTGTGCACAGGCAGCAAACCAGTGTTTCAGTGGCTGTGGAGATGCTGGCCTGCACATAAGTGCCTGTTCGTGATGTCTGCACTGGTTTGCTGGAAAGGGTTCTTGTTTGGGTATGTAGCCCGAGTCTCTGGAGAGATGCTAGTGGATCAGTGAAACGTGAGAGGAACCCTCGTGGGCGGAATTCCTGCGAGTCTTTCGCTTGTCCCACGGCTGCGTGCACTGTATCGGGCGACACGACCTGACCGAAGCTGAGATTCGATTTGTGTAGACACTGCCTGCAAGTTGTACAGTAGTGTGCAGGCCTCTTGTAAAGTCTTGATGCCCAGCGAATGCTTGAGGATACAAGCCGCGGATGCCGTCTTGAAGCAGAGCTGGGCAGGAGTCCCAGCAGGCGACAAAATGCGGAGCAGATGAGCTTCATGCCGGAGCCGATGAGGTGCGAAGCATCGAAGCTTGCCGTGCTGGACGAATCGCTGCTGCCTTCGTGGTTCTAGTGGCTGCCGCCGTGTCGCTCGGAAGAGTGATTATAGATGATGACGGACTCGGTGACCGGGATGACCCCCAGCTTCCCAGATGATTGAAAGCACAAGAAAACTTGCACACAGGATGTGCAAGTTTTGCGCTGCAGGTCTTTGCCAGTTGATCACATGCTCCAGAGTTCGATGTGACACCTTGACATCCAATGTGGCCGCTGCAGGTCTCGGGCATCAACAGCCCCTCTGGCAGTCCATTCTGCCGAGGCAGCATCGCTAATCACAGGCATGATGGCCTGCGATCATACCTCGCTGCAATGGTGGCAACTTCTCGGTGTCACAGAGACTCGACTTCCCAGCGTCCAGACATGAAAACAAGCCCACGATGTCCGTAATTTCCCAAGATAGATCAAGAGCTTGCTTTCAATCAAATCCAAGGACCGGCAGATGCAGTATGTCGTTGCACAGATGGAGCCGATTCCGTTTCTCCGGTCGAGCATAAATCTCCCGGCGTACCTCGGTGAGGCTTTCAACTGGTCCACTGCCAGCTTGGACATCGGCGCAGGAGGAGCATGTGGGGAAACGGCTGCAAAATAGTAAGATGCCATGACTGACTGGATCAGGTCAACTTAGCTCATTTCGGGCTATTTTCTATTTTATGTTCGACGTCGATAGAATAGAAGTGAGAAACAACGAACGACACAAGGGAGACTGACAAGATCGACACGAAAGGAGAGCACCTCACGAATGATGGGTGACTTGCAATGCATGACAGAAGATAATTTCCCCCACTCTTCCCCACGTTGGGAAGCTGAAACTGGGCAGTGGAAAAGGCGGGCGTGCTGCGCGACTGTTAGCATGTGAGGGTCTTGTTGCGGACCATGAATCGGCGAAACGGGCCGTGCGAGCAGCCAGCTCAATCCCAGCTCCTCCACTGGAACAGCTCGCCAGCCAATAAATCAGGAGGTTCATCCGGGGCTAGTAGGCTAGTTGGCTAGTAGAGGAAGTTGACATGAACAAGTCTGCCAATCTGGACCCGCAGGGATGACAAAGGGCAAAACTAAACTGTTCATTAAATGTGTTCTTGACTTAGCAGCAGATAGCAAAAACCTCATTATAACGCCAGGATTCGGTGACACTCTCTACATGCTGGCGCGGCAGATGCGTGTGCTGGCCGTGGATGCTCGCCCAGTTACTTCAGAGCCCTGGATGATGAGCCATGCTTGGAAGGCCCATCTCCCAGGCGAACATAGTCACCCCCCCACACCACCACCACCACAACCACGCTCAAACTTTAAGCCCTAAAGCCCTAACGCCCAACACCCATGAACACCTAACTTTGTGCAAGAGTCAAAAGCCCGCTATATAACCCCCCTACAGCCCCAAACTCGAATCCCGAACCCCTCAAGCCTTAACTTCCCAAGCCCCAAACTGCTAAAGCCGAAATCCGAAACCCTGCTCTATTTCGGATGAAGGAAATTCTGCAGCGGTTTTTCGATATGTCGACTATCTAGCTTCACTGCTTCACTCCGCCCCGCACCCTTCTTAACATTCTTATGCACACGTGGCTTTACAAAATCGCTCCAATGACATCTGATATAATCAGTCATCAATATTACGAGGGGGGTGCGGGCTCGAGGGAGGGGTGGTGGGTCTATCCTCTTCCCTTGGCCCCTGCAGGCTGCTCGCAAGGGCCACCTTGAGGTGCTGCCACGGGCAGTCACTGCTATCGGTGGGGCCACAGTCCCTCTCTTCCTTGACAGGCACGCACTAACCACAAAGGTGGCAAGAGACGCAGAGCTCTTTTCTGCAGGCACGGGCAGGGGCTCATGAGCTCGCTCAACACGACCATCGTGCCAGGCTCGAAAAGAAACATCAGAACATGGTGCCATGACCAAAGGGCTGTGCAAGAGGCGTCGACCTCCACGCTCTGGAGGAGATCCAGGTTCAGAGCAGTCCCTGTGCACAAGTTCTCAGACCCTCTTCGACTGCGCAAGCACTGTCTTTCAGCAGAGGCATTGCAAGTCTGAGGCTCCTGTGATGAGCTTCACAGGTACTGGGCACGCGGCCGCTCCGTACCTGGCAAGCATTCAAAAGGAACAAACTGAGAAAGAGACCTGGTGCAGAGTTGATGGAAGCCCCAAGGTCACGTACATGAAGGCGCGTTGGAGTCTGTGGTGCTACGTGAGTAAGTATGAGGGTCGGAAGGCATGCGCTTGTCGATTATGACCAAAAGCCATTGCCACGGACTCTTCTGAAAGTTGACCCAAACTGGCCCTGTAGCTCGTGGGCGGAGCCCGTGATAAGGCCAAGCAGGCTCTGAAAACCAATGCAGGTGGACGTGGAAGGGCTGGACGTGGAATGCGTTCGCAAGCTCTCCAGTGCCGCCAGCCCGAGTTTGAAGACAATGTTCACGCTGACTTTGCTGACCATGAGACGTGCTTGGCCTGAGCATCTTCAGGATATCAGGATGTCGCATGGAGCTATCTCCAAGCCCGAGTTTTTTTCCATCGAGCTCCCGGACTCTGCCGCCAAAGTGCTGGAACTTATCGAAGTCTTGGGGGTCAACGGCTGAGTCGCCTTCAGAGAGGTTCCACTCCATGGTCTGCCACGCCGCAGCTCAGGGCATGGGATATACGTCCTTCAAAATCTGTCGGCAGCGATTGTCCGGGTCCAAGTGCTGCTGTTTTGACTGAAGAAGGCTGAAGGTAGAGCCGAGTCGGCCTTCAGGTATAACCTTCGACTAGCACGTGGTCCACGTTACGCAGCATCTGGCCCATTCGGTCATGATGCGGTTGATTTTCTTCGTGGGCCCAGATGGCGCGGAGCTTCTGCCACTTGTCTTCTTTCATCCGTTGTCGCGTGGCCACCCCGACGCTTGCAGATTCGGGGCCCTCTTTCAGGAAATCACCCTGGAGCTCCTCCGCCTTGTCAACTGGGAGAGAAGGAGATATCTTGAATGGTCGGGGCCTCTGAGGGCCCACCGGACCTGATCCTGTTTGCAACAAGCTCAAGAAGCCGAGGTTTGATCTTCACGCTGCAGACATCGCAGCCAAAAGGGGGCACAGCATAGCCGAAACCGGCGAACTGCCATACATATCTCCGTTTGGCTGGCATGATGTACTGCTCCGCTTCGAGTTAGCATCTCCAGGAGGAGCAGTACGAGTGGGATGAGACTGATCCAGGAGCCGGCTGTCCCTTCTTGCCCGGATGCCTAGCTCTTTTGCCCTGTTCGCAGTTCTGCCTAGCTTCTTGTGCGGTGCCGATGCAGGGTCCTCAGCTGCCCAGGTGGCGTACATATGGGTTCACTCCAGCGGGTTTGTTCGGCACCTACAAGGCCCAATGCCAGAATGCAGCGGCAAAGTGTCGGCATCAAGCGCGTCACATCCAGGACAGACGTTTCGGCTGGCTCCGTGCATCCTTCTTGTACATTCTGAGCCTGTCCGGAGCTCGGAGTCTGTCTGTGTGAATCAAAGCCGCCTGGTCCGTGCCGGTGTGGACTCAGGCCGTCGCATTTTCTGAAGACCTTCGACTGGAACGGAATTCGGCGAATATGGTACGGCCGCATGCTGATGGGTTTGTTTTGAGTTGCATCTCCAGCATGATCAAGAGTTCGGCATATTGCGAGCCGTCTTCCTTCATGATTTTGATGGACATCGCAGTTCGCAAAGGTCCGAAGTCAGAGGAGGATGGGGTGCGAAAATTTGGCGTGACCTCCATGGTCGTGATCAACTACATGCTCTACCGTGCCTCCGCGTTATTAAGCACACTGCAAGTTTGCAAGGCTGCATAGTTTCAGATGTGCGACAGTCGTAGCCTCTGAAGCAAGGCCGCAGCAACATTATCATGACTGCGGCTTAGCTATATATTGAATTTTAAGTTCTTGTCGTCTGAAGATCTCATGGAGTGAGGCACCCAAAAAATCAATTCGGACCGATGCGTTCCGTTATCGTTGCATGCCTGCTTTGTTGTCCTCCTTCACTCAGCACATTGCGCCAGATCAGGGCATTGATGCCAGGCAGGGCAATTGCTTCAACAATAACATTTCAGCCTATGGCTATGGCTCCCCAGCCGAAGCCACCAAGACTTACCCACGCAGCAGCTGCGCAAGATCGAGGTTCAGTAGCCAGTGTTTCGTTCCAGTGTCTGCGTCATGATGGAGAAACGCTGGATGTTTCAGATTTGTTCATCCTGGAGTCGCAGCCAAGGTTGTATTCCTGGGCTTGTTCATTGCATGGTCCTTGATCCTTAACCGAAGAGTTACAGAAACGAGCTTTCACAAAGGATGTCTTTGGGACCAGACGTGCATAGCCAAGGGAAGATTTCCGCTCAAGGAGCAGTGCGGAGGAGCTGGAAAAAGCTGTGGATTTGACGAGACTGAGCCTCAGCGACAAGTGGCAGAGCCCTCCGTCGCTGGCATGTCTTTTGGGGACTTGTGGGTATGTGTACGGCCGTCACCATGAGTGGGATCACAGACAGTCTGTGCAGATGCCACCTCCTGCCCAGCAGTGCGAGATGTTTGCAGGCTATGAGAAGTTTGTCATGGACAAAGTTGCCACTGGAGAGAACGCAACTTTCCTGTCCTACTCAGAAGAGGTGGCTCCCAGAGCAAGGCGACTGGCTGCAGCAACTGCCGGCGTGCAGGTCATGATGCAGACCTTTTCTGCCATTCAGTTGCAAAGCGCCGGCCTGACTACCTGGAAAGCCATCATCAAAATGCCACCCGGCAAGCCTGTTACATAGTCCCATCGGACTCAGTGGAGCAGTAGGTGGACTGTCCTTCTGCGTGGGGTAAGGCTTTTCCTGTTCATGTCGCCGGGTGCTCAGATAAGCCACATCACTGTTAACTTCTGCAGCCCTCAGTCCAAACCCCTGTGGATGCTCAGGATGGCTTACGGCTTCTTTGCCATGAGGCGCTGGAACTATTTAAGAACATCACAGCCGCCTGCATCAACTCGGGGGGGAATGTCTGCAACTGTCATCGCTCGTGCAACCCCCCAGCCTTAGGTACAATCTTTACTTCGCTTGGGCACCTCTGCAAAATTATTTGCTATTGTGTGTCTTCGCTTCACGTCCATTAATTAGCTCTGCCATGGAACCCAGGCTGCAATCATTACCTTCCCCTTCCTGATCACATTCGTGCCGAATCTCGCCGGCAATGTGCACAACGGCGGCTTCTGATTCAGAACAGCTTGACAGCAACAGCGGTTTGGGGTTTGACCACGTGCAGCCGTCATTTGATTGTGCCGTGAATGCATGTTCAAGACTCAAGACTCCTGGTTTGACAGAGCGTAGCATGTTAAAATCCTCCCGGTGACCGATGGCACGCCGGTTCGACGGGAGAGTGGTGGCTAAGTTCAAAGTGCTGTGCTGTCAGGACTTCCAATCTGCTGGACTGGACGCTCTCTGCTCCTTGACCTGGCCAGCGAGGGCGGGGCTGTTCCTTTCAGCTCAAGAGCCTTCGAGCATAAAGCAGATGATCCAAGGAAAAAATCTTTGCTCACCATCTCGAGGAGGTCATTGGCACATCGTGTGTGACTGGCAGCTTTTGCTTTCAGACGGCATTGCTTGTTCGTGGCAGGCGCGCAGGCACTTCCACACAGATGAAATCGTTCCCACCTCAGCGAGCGAGTGTGCGGGGAGTGTGGGCAGTGGAGGGCAGGGCAGGGGAGACGGGAGATGTTCTTGTCGATGATGTTTCCAAACTATTGAGACTGGCACAACCTTGCGCATATTGGGGTCCTTCAGGTAGCAGCGTGTATGCTGAACGATCCTGCCGAGACGTTTGAAGTGGCACGTCATGGCCCCGGAAGCTGAACTTGAGACCGACCGGATGGACTGCTGCCACCTGAGCTCCCCAGGTCCCGTCATCAAGGCGGTGTGCCCTGTTCTTCAGCAACGTGTTCCGCAGCTTGGACCACATCGGCTTGTCCCGCCCAGCGGTTGGAGAGAGAGATATGGAGAGACACAAACGCATCTGTGAGTGCATCTGGCCCATGCATCGAGAGCCATCCGATCGCCGAGGTATGTTATGCCGGGCGTCGTCAGGGTGACGGTGCTTGGCAGATCTGTGCCGGTTACAATTAGCAGCTGGCTACCATGGTTGACGTGTCTCATTTGCACGGAGAGGGCTTCCCTGTGTTTGATGTGGACCGCTGGCCACTGCACTGGTAGCTGCATGCAGGAATATGGTGCCAGAGGGGACAAATTTGCAGCGGGCCCAGCTCATGAACCGTTCTTCAATTCCACGACTTCTGCTCCTGCAGTTGTTCGATGTGCTTTCAGCTCTACTACTTCCCCCTGTTGTATTTAGATTACCTTCCACGAGAGAGTATTGTGCGCGTAAAGTTGCTGGCACTTTGTTCATGGCTTCACATGGCTTGTTGTCACCTGTTTCGAGCTCAGGAAGCCAGTGCATCAAATCTGTGAAAAGGCACTGATTGTAACGGACAGCGGAGCCCTCGGTGTAAGTTGAATTACCATGGCCTGGCCATTTTGCACTCGGGCTTTGCTTCATGCGGCAATTCAGGCAATTTGACCGCAGACTTAGCGCTGGACTCAGCAAATCTTCGATAGTGGTACCATCGCCCGGTTGTCTCCTATCTTAAACTTTATCTGAAGCTTGAGATTAACATCAGAGGCACTCAAGGTGTGTCGATCAAGCATCCCGAACACTCGCGACACGCAGAGCAGAGCCAAATTCGTCTACACGGTTTTGGAGTGCTGCCCTGAGCGGACAACACAAAGCCAAGAGGCCAAGAACACGCCCCAAACAGTCCCCAAACCAAGGTAGTAGGAAAATGCAAGAGTGAGACAGAAGTACGTCCAAGTTCAGCATCCCTCCTCGCATTCTCTCTGAGGCTGCAACCGCGTCAGATGCATCTTGGCATAGATGCAGAACCTCCACGAAGCGTGTGTGCGAGTGCATTCGAAGTGTAGGGTTTAAAGCGAGGTTTGTAAAAGCTTGGCGACCTTCCTGTACAAGAATGTGCCGGCAAAGGCAAGAGCATGCGAGTTGATGACCACAAAGACGGCCAGCAAAAGGCATATCTGGAATTCTGAAGACATAAACCTTGGTGGTTGAGAGACGTAGCTGAGCTTGCGTGCAATAACGGTATTCTTCTGCAAAGTCAGGGGTGACGAAGTTCAGCCCTTTTCTGTCTGTTGTTGCGGTGGCAGGGATTGAACGTCGGAAATCAGTCCAGCTACCATGGAAGCTCGAAGGCTTCTGCCTGACGTCTGGCCCGAAAGCATTCTAAGCCATGAGTCGCGAAATCGAGTCGCCGAGTTTCTTGGTAGATGAAAGAAACTCTCTGGGTTTCGCAAGGCAGTTTTAGCACTGTGTCAATACCAAAACTACTCTTTGAGCATTTCAGCTTTTTTAGTTGGAACGGTGGGGTCCGAGCTGGCTTGTGGGATGGCCCGAAGGCTGTACAAGTTTATGTATGATGTGTTCAGGTCAGTCGGAAATTGAGTGGTCCGTCATGATGTGCCCCACAGCGTTCTCGCAGTTCTGCCGCCGAGAGGCAGCGACGGCACTGACGGAGCTAAAAGAGGCGCTGCGTGAGAAGCAACAGGAGCCTTCCACCGTGCTGCTTGGACAACCCGCGAGAGTGAGAGAAATTCGTTACCGGGGGGTTTTGCCCTTAGGGCCCGTAAATGCCCGTAACAAGAAGAAGAGATGTCGTGCAGTGCGTTACCGAAACCCCGTTCGATGGCCAGGTTCAGGGCCGGGAGGTGCAGGCGCAGTGGTGGGGTCAGGGGGATTTCAGCAGGTACGCTTGTGGGCAGCTGGACCTAGTTGAGGCTCGAGTGCGCATCGCTTGCTGGAGCGTGTAGATTAGTCGCCCTTGGCCTTGTGAAGGAAGGAAGGAAGAGTAAGAGAGACAGACCCACGTTGTTCTTCGTCGGACAAAGCAGGGTCATGAGGACTGCTCAAGTTACTCGCAAAGCAAAGAGAGACCGAGTGAGCGGCCGTGGTTGTGGTCGCAGTGGCACTCCCCTTTTCCTCTTTCGGTGCACACGACTGTAAGCTGAGCATTCCACGGTGTAGAACTCTAGGTGGTATGGGGATTTATGGCGCTGATTTCGGGTCTTTTGATGCAAATTCTGCGGGAGAAAGCTCAGCTACTGCACCGCTGGCCTAATCGGCTTGGCCTCAGAGTGATTCTGCCGGTAGGAGATCTAGGGGTAACTAGGGGGATGAGAAGTTTGTTTCTGAGCGCCCTGTTCTCAAAACCCATGCCTGCCACCGAAACTCGGCAAGTGCGGGCGCCCCTGTTGGCGTGGCAGGGTAGTTTCGCTAGACTTACTTGGCAGTGCTCGCATGGCATGGGCCCCAGCCTCCCACCCAGCCACGTGCAGGGAAGCAGCAGCAGCGGCAGAAACGGCCCAGTGAGATAGAAGTAAGAGTGTGCCTCCACGGAGGAACTCAGACGAAAGAAAGAGGAAGCCTGGAAACGACACGAACGACAGACAGAAAAAAGAAGGGTGACATAAACAGTGAGTGCGGTCGAGGAGTCCACGGAACTGGCTGCGTACCAGCTGCACTTTGCAGACAAGGCGCCGACCTCCTCTCGCCTCTGCAAGTGCCATGCTACTGCTGTTGCATCTCCGGCACCAGCTGCCAGAGCACCAGTGTCGGCACAACTGCAGTTCGTGTGATCTGCGGTCTGAAAGACGGCCTCCTAGGAACCTAGGAATCGCCAGGCCGTGGGACCCACAAGCCCCCACACCGTTGGCCCCCTCTAGGGGGGGATCCCCTCGCAGACTTGCAAAGCGAAGCGTCCAGCTTTGGCGAGGTTGCGGGCTTGGACGAGGTTCCTCTGCGGCTTTTCAGTGCCTGGCTGGCAAAAAGGCTGCAGCTTTGTGTGGGGATCGATTGCACGTTGTCAACCTTTCAGCTTCTCGGCTTCCTTCCGTTGTTTTCGTTGGGATTCTGGGAACACTGCTGTTCGTATCCAGGTCAAAAGAGGAACTCCCGTCTGGATGGGATTCTGGCCTAAGCCTCATCCGGCTCTACATGTCCATGCTTGTCCGCGGATGCCCTTCCACGAGGTCCGAGCCGGGGGCGATGGAAGTGGCTGCACAGAGCCACCGTCAGTTCAAGCAGAGGAGAGAGTGTTTTTGCTGCTTGGTCCGAGAGCGGTAAGCCGTCAGACATGGTCCTGGTGCGGAGAGGATGCTGTGGTCGTGGTCGGTCCCATGGAGCGAGGTCGGGGTGGGTATGCCTGTGACAAGGTCATTAGGTGCAGAGCATGTGTCTGTTTGAAACCTGCGCTTGAGCACAGCTTGCGGTCGCAATCTCGAGCAGACTTGAGCCTCCATGCAGGCTCGTGCAGCGTTAGACATATCTTGCGCCTTGCGGGCAAGGCCGTTCGTGACCAGTGTTGAAAAGCCCCCTTGCTAAGTATAGGTTTGACACGTTGTGACACCTACGTGCAGGTTAGTGTGCGGGCGGTCCTGATTCTTGATCCGAAGCGCCTTGTGCCATCCACTCAAGCACATGGGTGTCAGCACTCAGTTAGTAATGCGATCGTGTGCGGATAGAGTGATGAAGAGATTGTTTCAGGAGTCGGGTTCCATCCCCTCCAAGGGTGCCACAAGCCCAGCCTGAAGTCAATGAAGCCGCTCTTGCTGCCCGCAGCCCGACGGGACGGCGTGATGCTGCATGCTGAGGACAGTTGGCGTTGTTGCCTCTGCGCTTGACAGTCAGGCGAGATCATGGAGCGGTGAAATGGTGTAGCTTTGCCTTTCAAAGCTTCAGCACAGGCCATCCTGCATCTGTTGGAAAAGCCTGAAATGCACGGTGGGATCCACGTCGACATTCGGCAGTACCCTCGGCAATCCGGGCCAAGCGATCCCTTCATCGACAAGCCAACCCCTGCAGGGTCCAGGGCAATCCGCGTGAATGGCCCAAACTGCTTCTGAGGTATTCTCCTGTCTTCGGCCTACAGGCTTCCGCGCGAACCCCCGCCGGCTGCCTCTGCAAAGGAGCCGCCACAAGCACCCACAGCCTTAGTGACATGCTCTGCCTTTGTGCTTTTTTTTTCAACTTCGTGAGATGGCAGGCCTGGGCTACGACTCGGACTGCCGGGTCCGACCGGCCGAGCTCCTGAGCAAATCCTCTGAAGGCGCTTTCCCCCCATGCTCCCCTCCTCCCATCTCCTCCCTATCCTCCCCTCTCTCTCTCTCTCTCTCTAATTCCTCCCTTTTTTCTTGCAGGCAGGAGCCCATACCCGTGGTGCGAAACGGCCGCTCGGCATCTTCCCGATCATGAAGACGCATGCTTTGCGGCTGGTACCTTGTGCAGGCCGTATTCGACTATTGGGGAGTTCCTTGCAAACAGGATTTCGACCTCTGCCCAGACCTGAGGGGTGAGGGCATTGCCCGTTGCTTGAAACTCAGGCCCATACCACCAGAACCGCAGAACACGCCATGTGTCAGCATCATGCAACACAGATGTTCACATGGCCTGCCGGTGCGCGTGTCCAGGTCTTCCTCCGGGTGAGTCAGAGGCTTTTGAAAAGCCCGATGCAGAAGCCCGAGCAAGCGATGTCGCACCATACAGTCGCGCGATATTGGCTTCATGACTTTCAAGCATAAGTAGTCCTCATGATGTATTCAGAACACGACGTCAACATATCCGCATAATCTTCCCCATTGTGCACAAAACGGAGCAGGCGCAAGCGGACGATCCTGAAAGCGTCTGTGGGTTCACGACAGCATTCACGATCGATTTGTTTATTTCTCAGGCTGCATGCACGACCCCGTGCGGCCGTGATGGGAACGCGAAGCTACCTGTCAGCATAGCAACTAACTAGTTGTTTTTGGCACGGGCGCCCGTGCTAGGCTGCTCTGCCAGCGATAAGGTATGACCTGTGCACTACGGGGAAATTCTGGCGGAGCGTGGGCGGCCTACGGCACTGGACGGAAAGCGTAGCTTACAAATAATTCACTTGCAGCCTTGGTGCCAGGCCCAACGCTGTGTTGCCGCACTGGGTGTTGCAGGAAAGGTAGAAAGACCGGATCGAGAACCAGAAGACTTCGAAGGCGGGCTTGTAGTCTCTTTGATGTGATGTGATCTGATGGCTCTGTTCCACATCGAGGAGGCATGTTGAATTTTGCTGGCGCCATGAACAAGTTGTCGGTGAGCGGCAGGCGCACCGTTTCTTCAACAATCTTCAGCATCCTTCAGCAAGAAGCAGTGTATTGCCCTGTCTTACATAACTTAGGGACGTACACGCGCCGCATTCATTGCCGTTGATTCTCGGCTGGCACGATCCCTGCAACAAGTTCATCAACAAAACGGATCATGCGGCCCGGTAGATCGCTGAGTCTACTGACAAGTGGCTTCCTCCATGCACAGGAGCTCGCGCTCGAACTGTACGCATTGACGTGTATGCACCGGACCAAAGGTATATCAGCCAATGCTCTCGTGCTGTAGGGGTCGATGATGCCGACGGCAACGTCAAAGCTTGTGCGTCTCAGTGCGAAGTGCACCATGCGCAGAGCGCACGCTGAAGCGACGTGCTGCTGTGCTCCCGCAGACTATGGCGACGGTTTGCGAAGAGCGCCTTGATTTCGCCCACCAACAGCACGAGAGATGCACGAGTCAAGACTCGTCCAATGTTTTCGAAGCAGTGAAAAGAAGCCTGTATCGTGGTGCACCTCGTGGTGGGTCTGGCGCGGATGATTCGCCGCGAGCTCCAGGTCTCACATATACAAAGTAAGCTTCAGCACCTGCTTGTCACTGCAGGGCCCTGCCCCACCTCTTTTGCTAGAAGTCATGGCGTGCCACGGCATTGGTCGTAGAATGTCGTGTGTAAGGCCGCAGGTCATCGCCTGTTGCAGGTTCATGTTGGTATATATTGACTAGACATGACTTCTGCTGCCATACTTGAGCAAGACCGCTGTGGGTCATTTACCAAGCGGCGAACGACAAGCTACGTTACTGTTTATTGGCTGGTGGTGTTGATGGTTAGGAATCACGATGTAGGATTGCAGGGATCCTTCGGTAGGATTGGGCGGGGGAGGGTAGTCTTCCGTAGCGGACGAAACCTCAAAATTCGATCGCTTTCTTTTGTATGTGCCGTGATTTTCATATGGGTCATGCCGGCGCGGGGATTTTACATGCGACAGGACAGCAGCAACACAATAGGAATTGCTGGGCCTAGTAGTCCACACTCTTGGACAGGCTTCTGACGCTGAGCCCGGCGTTCGATTGCAACTTTCGTGTGACCGTCGAAGGGCCAAGCGGCAAGTGCCTCTGTTGCTGCTCGAGAGCCCTTCTTGGTTGTGATACTGGCAACCGTTCCCCGGCATGCGGCTGAAGCCAAAGATGTCAAGCGACAGTGTGCAAATCCCAGGTGGGCACCTCCCGATTGGCGTAGACGGCCGCATTCGCTACAGCCCAACAACTGAGATTTTTGGGGAATGGTCTTCTGCCGGCGTCAACGTGCCGTTTGATTTTATCCACGAGCCTCGGCCCCGGCTCGGTGCAGCACTGCAAGTCTCTGCTGTCCTTTGCCCGGCTTGGAGTGCAAATCAGTGTCGCTTGACCCTGAGGGATCCGGAGATAACGGAGCTGCATTTCCAGCTTGATGTCAAGGGAAACGGTGAGTGCAAGCCTCGGCTCCTGAAAGCCTGATATCTTCGTCTTGGTTCGCCCATGCGCTTCTTCAGTCCAAGACCAGATGGAGACCGCTAGCTTTCTCTGCATGAAATGAGCATGCCGAGCAGCTTCGCAGAGGCAGTTCGATGCCGTTCGGTTGGAACAGCAGTGCCGAGCACATGTCTCAGGCTCAGGCGGGGCAGGCATGCCTGGGTCATAGTTATATCATAGTTCAATGTTCACTGGGAGTAGGTCGGGCATGTGCCCCTGAACATCTTCACCAGCTGCAGTATGCCACATCCAATCGCTTCGTAGCTTCTTGGAGGCCAGCTCAGCGACTGGTCCTTAGTGCCGCACGGGCAGCTCAGGACTTGCACCAAAAAGCATGAACACACACGATCCGTCGCTGCAATGCGAGGACTCCAACCTACAAAGAGACAGGGTCTAACAGGGGGGCTCAGGCATCACGGCGGCTCAAAGACAGCCATTAGCTTGGCGGATTTAGAATGCTTTCCGCTCAAGAGCTTGTCTTCGAGTCTTCGAGGCTCGCCATCGCAAGACAGCGATGACGACAGCTCCGATGACGACGGCGCAGACAGCGCTCCGCCCAGTTCCGGCTTTTAACATCACAAGTGCCGGTTTCGATTCAGCTGGAAACTCAGGCACCAGAGTGAAGCTTGCGACTTGCAGCCTCTCGACTTGCAGCCGTAATTAGGCACAGGACGCTGTCCACGTCGTGTAGGCCCTTTGCTAGTCCATGACGTTCTCCCGAGTTGGTGGGTGAGAAGTCTGCACGAAAGCAACAAGCAACCTTTCGAGTCTTCAGGCCGTGAGTGCCAGGCCTTTACCAAGCAGCCAGATAGTTGCTTCCGCAGGCAAAACCGAGTGGATTGGACACACATCCCCAAGCCCGTCTGGCGCGGTCGGGCTTACTGCTCTGCAACTGTTCCCCCTGAGCGATCGCACGCGCCTAAGCCCCATAGGAGATCCCTCATGCGCGTGAGCAGTGAGCGGGTTGGCAAAAGATTTTGCATTTGGCCCTTCCATCGTCGTCCACCTTCATCACTCAGGGCCCACGGGTAGCTTTTAGTGCAACGTGTTTATACTTTGAGTTGTCGAATGTCGCAAGTATAAGTATTGATACGAATTGAGTAAAGACTTTGAGTGTGGCAGCAACTAGTACTTGGACCAGGTCAGAGGCGCGAGGTGGTAAGTACCAGGCATGGCGGATGGGACACAGTCAACATCTGTTGAGTCCAAACATACCTTGGTGTGAGCGACGCGAAATTCTTTACAGACAGCCTGGGATGGGATTGCGTGGCCGCGCATCAGAGCAATGTGCATGTGTATGTTTGTTTTTGCGTGTTTGCCACAACCCGCAAGTCACATTGTGCCTGCATTCCGTGAAAGTGGCCCAGGTGAGTTTGTGGGCGTTCCTTGCATTGACCCGGCTGCGAATGTGCTCTGACCTTACGGCACCATGGAGCATGTGTGAGATGCGCTTTAGCCTGCAGTGAGTGACAGTGACAGGCGACGCAAATGCAAATTATTGTCAGGTAGCACAGTGTAAGGATCTGGCGGTGTAATTTGCACGGCGCACTATCGCATCATGCCGGTGTTCCTGGCACTCCTCGCTCCCTCCCTAGCTCCCTGCAGAAAGCTTGCCGGCCCGCTCCCTCTAAACGCTGACCACCAAGTTTCTTCTACTTCTCATCCGCTCTTGGGAAATCGGTAACCGGACGATTCGCGTGTCATCGAGCTGTTACAACGAGCCGCACAGGCTCACAGGGAGGGCTGCGCCATTTGGTTCTCACTTGACTCGTGCTCTTGTCTCTCTGTCGGTCGTCGGTCTAGACATCCTTGTGCCTTACAGTGCTCCTGTCAAGCTGACCCTAGTGGCTCTAGTGTAGTTTCGTGAATGAACGGTTGAAGGCAGACGAGGTGTTCCGACAATCAGGTGTCGAACTCGGAGAATCGCATCATGTTCGTGGGAGTGGTGGCATCGTGCCAGTGGTGCCCTGAAGGTCTGTGATTCCAACTACACTGCTGGTGGAAGCTTCTGTCGTTGTGCCGATGGGTAGAACACCCAGGGCCGGTGCTCGTCGCGCCTTCGACCCTGGCGATCTTCTCTCTTATCAGCTCAGGTTCTGCTGGAGCTACATGAAGCAGGCTTGCGTCGACCAGGCAGAGCACGCGATCGCCTTACACAGACAGTTGCAACACCGCACTCTCTCAGACTAGTTGCAGCGCCGCATGTAAAAACACCAACCCCTTCTTCACCTCACTGGGTCTTGTTTGCCCAGGCCCGGGAAGTGGCCGCATGCCCGAAAAAGAATGGCCAAAGGCAACTTGGAACAGAGCCATTGCCACGCGATTGCCGCGCGAGGTCTCCAAGCTGCTGGATGAGACCTTGCTGGAAAGACACTCCCCCAAGCTTTGGGCAACAGTGGCCTCGCGGCACGTAAGGAACAGGTCTTGATGCAGTTTGCTTTCTGTTGCCAGACGTTGCTGTGCTTCGTGACGCCTGGGCGGCATAGTGGAGCCTAGCAAGTGTGGGGCTGTCCGGTGTGAGGCCAAAGAGGTCGCCACCGTTGGGTTTTGTGCCATGGAAGCTGCGGAGAGTCGGGAGCCTGCCGTGGGTGTCGAAATCTGTTGGAGTGCATGGATTGTGCTGCTAAAGCTGTATTCAGCTCAGGCTTGAACAACATCTTGCGCCATGTTCTCGCCATCGGGCCCGACTCGCAGCTGCTGTCAAAGTGCATCGATCTTTGTACCCAGCGCTGCAAGCAAACACCTGGGTTTGCTGCTTGTGCATTGGCTCCAGTGTCACTACTGCCTGCAGGCCCGGCATTCTTATATCCGCATGGACAGCAAAGCTGATCTTCGTACAGTCCACTATCCCAGGTGCGCATGGCAGAAGGGTTTGTTCGGAGTAGAAGAGGCATGACCGTGCCAGGGTACTTCTCCTACTTTTTCACGATGGTCTACAGAGCCTTGGCTGCAGTCCAGAGACCTGTGCCGTTTTGCATTTCTTCCTGCCGGATGCGGATTGGAAGTCTGACTCAGGCCCGGCAGCCTGGGTTCTGAACAATGTGTGGCATCAGACAGCTGATGCAGATCCCCCAGCATGAGACGGTACGAGTCTTTGGTCCATGTGATCGGAGAGCATGAAGCACCTGTTGTAGAATTCCTGCTGCTACTTACCGCTACACAACTGCGACGACTAACGCTACGACGACTCTGACTGACGAGAGCTAGTACCCCTGCTGCTACTGATGAGAGGTGGATGAGCAACCAAAAACGCCTCAGCAATACATGCCGTGGCAGCAAAACCTTGATAGTAGTTGAGCGGTCGTGATAAGACTGGCAACAGTAACAACGCGACGGATCAGCATTGTAACCCGCCCTCAGCAGCGGGTGAATCCAGCATATTAACAGGCCGAATCTGGACAAGTTCGTTTCAGAGTTACAGGCGTATCAGTTCATCCGCAGGGCAGGATGCAAGATCGGATTCAGCAAGACAGTGTAACTAATCTTCTTGTTTCGGTTGATGCCTGGCCATGCTCACAAGCCGAGGATTGGAGATTGTCTCTGGGCTTGGCAGCCATGGCATTCTGGACAATCCCAGTACCCTGATGGCAACATATCAAGAGTTGCTTTTCCTTTATGAGTGTGGCCGTGTCCCCTTGCAGGTCTCCGTGGTTGGAATGAAGTATGGGTTGCATCGCCCCATGTCCGTGGCCAGGGTGCGTATCTTAAGCACGCATAAGATGGTACCAGGTACCAGCTTGTTCAAGCATGTTGAGCACCTCATGAGGCCATGAGTCTGGTGAATAACCTGCTGTTGCTGTACTACTTTGTTCTTTTTGCGGCCGTCGTGTTCATCGTGCCATGGACCGAGTCTCCATCACTTGTCCAATATCGTATTTGAGACCCGGCCCTCTGAGGATGTTTGTTTTCAGCGATGAGCCGGAAAGTGAAGCATACTTCAGTGCTGGCGCCCGAGTCTATCAAGCGTCCTCCTTGCCTGTGGGATCAAGCCTGCCAATGAGTGCTGGATTCTGCTTGCTGTGAGGTGAGTGCGGCTTTTCGTCGCAAGCTTCGACCAGGAAAATTGAGCAAGGCGCTTTGCTATAAGCTGTGTAACTGGTGACTGAGCCTTGCGCCCGTGGCAGAAAGAGCTCTTGTACCTGCTATTCGGATTTCTCGCCGGGCCTCCAGAAGAAGGTTTCTCAAAGGGCAGATGATGCAGTTTCGCTCAAACGCAAGAAGTAGTGATGTATGGCTGTATGACTACAGTCAAGCGCTTGAACTTCTCTGTCTCCTGTTCCGCAGGAAGGCGAGGGGTGCTTTAAATGGGGGTCCTTGGCAGAGTCTGTTAGACAGCGCATTATTTCGCCAGCCGCTGAGACCGAATCCTTCGCGGTGTTTTTCATCACCTGCTGTGCTGCCACGGATGCCTTCATCATGGTAATCGTGAAGGCCAGACGCGGGGGGCCCTTCTGCGAGCAAGTGAAGTCGATGCTCCAGCTGGCAAGGAGCACCAAGCAGCGTGGTCCATGCTAACGAGAGGTGCCCCTCTCAGAGTACTTCTTGTCCGCTTGATGATCTAGGAGGGCTTGCAAGACCGCCTCCGCCGACAAAAAGAACATATCATTGAACGTGCCTGCAGCCGAGGCAGCTTGTGCTGGTCCGGTCCCCTTATAACACCACCGCTTTGCAAACTAAAGCGGCTTGAAAACCCCTACAAGCCATTTTGCGCCTAACCATTTTAGCGGTGCTTGACACCCTAAGCCATTTTCGGTGTCCCCTGCCCTCAAGGCTCTCCCCCAGACGGAACCTACCCGCAGCTGTTGCATCCTTTGGCAAAGGCAAGCCACTGCCGACGGTGCAGGCCGTGTCGCAGCATGCAGACTATGCAGTGGTCTCGTAGGGTCACGCCACAAACCTTGTGCTCTGCTCCTCCGTCTCGCTCCGGCATGTTGTCTGCCTTTTCGCTTGTTGGCTCAAGCGGGAGGGTTGAGTAGATCAGTCCGGAGCACTGTATGTGCCTGCGCGAGCGCTGCAGCCGGGCTTCCGAGACAGGTGATGGCGGCGTAACTCTCATGCTGTAGTTCTTGAAGCAAACTTTCAGCTCACCGTGAGGAAATGGCTCCCTCCAAGTACACCTTGGACATCAACGGGAAGGCCGACTTGTGGCTCCTGCCGCTGCGTTATTGCCCGAGTCTTCGTGCATCTCTGCGCAGGATCCGCTGGAGCTCCTTTCGGACGACACATGGGAGGCCAAAGACCAAGTCGCAGCCGTGCATGTTTGCAGATGCTTGGCACAGGCACTGTGTTGCGAAGAGATCACCATCGTCCCTGCTCTCAATACCGAGACAGACGTCGACTTGATTTCAGGTCCTGACAAGGTTGCACTAAGTTGCGCTTGACAGACTGTCTCGCTTGCAGGGAAGCTTGGCCCACTGCGTGCTCACACCCCGCTGAAGGCCAACCCCACACTGACGAAGACAGGGATAGATGAATTAGGAAAAGATCCGAGAAAAACCATGAAGAGCTTTGAAAAATGTGTTTATGCTTCGGAGCAGGAGAGTGCGGCGGGAACTCTGAAGCTACATGACCTGTGTAGGTGAAGCTGTGGGCAGCCTTGCAATATGCGTCGAAGCACGAGTGCCAGATCGAATTGCCACATTGGCTCGAGGCATGGAACACCGAAAGCGGTATAGGTGGTATAGGGGCAAGTGCGGCAAGTGACATGAATTTTGAAGCACTGTTCAGCCACTGGTGCCCACGGTAGGCATCGGAGCTGGAGACCATGTGCAAGGAAGAACGAGCCGAACCCCTGAAGTTCGGCAACGACTCTTGGAATTGCATATGGCAGTGGCCTCCTTTTGCCTCCGCATCGTTCAAGTTTACAACTGACATCTCCGAGGTGCCGCGACACTACATTGAGATTGCGGAGGCTTTGTTGGCCATTCCAAGGACTTCATTTCCTGATGTCGGATGCTGTGGAGCCGCAGAGAGAGTAGAGCTTGCAAAGGACATGGAGTTGACTAGTTGTGTTGGCTCTGCCCACACTCTCGCAACTCTCGCAGGGCCTGGGGTAGCGAGTCAGCTCGTGAGAAGAGCCTGCTGATGCTGACCAAGCTGATCCAGATCAGACGCGCTAAGATTTTGGAAGGCATTCAGGCCCGAGCTGATCGCTGTCGGCGTGCGGGGAGTCATTCTGATCTGCAGACATCGAGATTCTAGGTCGTTTCATGTGCATATGTTTCAGGCCTTTGATGCGACCTTGTCGACAGAGTTCAAAGTCACCGGCATGTCTGCTGCGGAGATCACCTGCTTCCGAACTCGTTCGCTGGCCTTCCTGGTGCCCTGGTGCTGTGTGCATGGAGATGTGTAGATTGGTGTGCCTACGACCGACAGACACCCATGCACGCCCGGAAGGACACAATGCTGGAGCTGCTGAACTACAGACTCGACGAGACCGAGAAGGGCGGGGTAGCAGAGGCTCCAATTGAGGAGGACAGTGTGCCACGGCCTGATCAGTAGGCTGACAGCCTCTGCTGTCGTGCGAGAAGAAGGGGCGTAAGGTTTCCTCATTGGAATCCTTTGGCCGCTCTTGAAACTGGGAGCTGTGGCCTGTTGATGTGAGCTGCCTTTGGGGTCGGGGCGAGCAAAAGTGGCTTTGCGATGATGGATGCACAGGTGTCTGCCAGCCTGTGGTCGGTTTAGTTTGGAGCATTGTTCTAAGTGTCCGAAGACCATGTTTGACTCCATGCAGGCAGACGATGAAGACACTCTCTATGCCGGAGCCCAGATGTCGATGGTGATGGTGGTCAGCATGGTATGGTCGATGATGATGATTGATGATGTATACATGCCTGTGCTTACCAAGGCCATCGAGGAGCAAGTGACCCGAGATTGGCTTCTCCTTATGAAGGAGTCCTCGGACGAAGGCCAACCCTGATCTGCTTCATAATATTGATGATGGTCTTTAGATTTGACCCTGGCAGATGGTGGCCTGGCTGTCGGCCTCCAAGTTGCTCAGCACTTCAAACGCGGTGAGTCCGTGACGCTGCTGGTGCTGCAGGGGCGGACGCTCAACACTCGCCTCCTCCGTGACAACGAGAGGTCGATCCCCAAGTTTGAGAGGATGATGATGCAGTCAACCTGAAGTTGCCAGTGTGCTGCCAGTCAGTATGGTAGATATCGGTAAAGAGGCGGCGTCATGACCGCTCGTTCGGAAGCCTGATGCTACGAGGTCCTCGGAGCCAGAAGAGGCTGAATTACTGCATGGCCTGTCTTGGACATAGGCCGCTGCGACTGCACCATCCTGACTGTCTGAATTTACGAGGCAGTGGAACTCACGGACATGGCGCGAACGAGAGGCCAAGCGATGGAAGAGCCATCTGTGTAGCGCATGAACCATGTTCGCAAGCGACGGATTTGCTATGGGGCCGCTCAAACTGGGTATGGCCCGTGGGCAGCTGCTTGGCACAAAGTGGCCTTTCAGCTGCTGGCTAGAAGCTTCTGCAAAGTTGCTTCGTCTTCGCGCAAAGCACGCGGAGATGATGATGGAGAGTTTATTTATCGATCGCAAGTCGCTTGGGCTGCACAATCAAACTGTCCGGGCCCATCTGGTCTCATAAAGAGAGGTATCGGATTTGAAGCAACATGCAATCTCGGCATGTCGTGGCTTGGACTGACACTCGCAGGCAATCGGTGTGGCTTAAGCAGCGTATGCGCTTGTACGTGTTTACTCGCCAGCATCCGAAATGCACCTCAACCAATGAAACAACTATAGCAATGAAGACCCCTATTGGATTCTTGGACTCGTGGACTTGCCGGTTCGGAGCTGAAGCCTTGGTTTCTCCTCTGGGCTCCGACTGTCATACCTCACGCATCATGCAGTCCAGGTGGATGGTTTAGACTCGGCACAGCTGGACACGTCTCCAGTCTTGGAATCTTTTCCGCCAGCCAGGCACTTATACCGATCGTGTGTCGCAGCGCAGATGCACGGAAAAGCCTTTCAGGAAGGAATCCTGTTTTGTGATGAAGACGGCCGCCGGCTTCTCAAAGGGCGCTCCTTTCGGCCATATCCCTGACTCTTTGCCCCGCGGATGTTCGGCAACGGTAATTGGGTTTTGCACGAACGCTGTAAGGCCAAATCCGCTTGGATCGCGCCGGCATCGAGCGCATCATGTCATGTGACTTGCCACCCAATCTTAGTCCGCTACATTGCTTCAGGAGCTGCTTAGGTTAGCATGATGAAAGACACACCTTTCCACATTTCTTACTGCACTGCTTCATGATGGTAGCTTCACGTACTTTTCGTACGCCCAATTCAATACATGGCAAGGTACTTGGGCATGCCATCTCCTGTTGGAGGCTCGGCATGCTCCGTGCGCCCAGACTCCATCGCGCCTCATGGGGAGCATGTCGCCGGTCTTTTGACGTGTGTATCCGCACTTGCGAGCCCGCGCTCTCCACACAGACACAAACTTCCTTTGCGCTCGAGTAGCTACTCCTTGCCCCAGCCCGACTCGTTCTCATTATCTCATCTTCTCGGGTGACGATCCAAAACGATCGGGTGTGTCCACGCTGTATGGGCAGAAACGACTGTGGAACCTGTCGCTTGCGGGTGTGTTTCTCATGTTTCGGTCCAGAACGGACCGTATGACCACAGGCCAATAGATGCAAAGCCGCAATTTGAAGCTCAAGCTCCGAGACTCAATGTCATTCGGTGGCTTACAGTGGGTTTCGCTTTCTTAACATCTGGACTGGGCAGTGCAAAGTGCTGCTTGGACATTGTTCAAGCCAGCCAAATCGGGTTTCTTCCACCGGCAGCGCATGTCAGGATCAACGTCTCCTAACTGAGCGCGAGTTCTGGGCTGCTTGAAAGCATTCGGGGAATCAAGATCTCTGGCCGGTTGAGTCGAATCGCAGCAGCAGATGTCGAGGCATTTCCCCCTCCGGTGTCTCCGAGCACTCCTTTTGGCAACGTGGGCGTCTTGGTGTGAAGCTACCACCGGACGGGTTGTGAGTTGCAGTCGGACTCAGTTCTGCTGCCCTCTGTTGCTTGCAAGTCTGGCTCAAGCAGGAGTAAGAACTGGAAACTTCTATTCTTGCAGTGGATATACTGTGATATACTAGCAGATTTTTCTTGCCTCGATCCTGTGAGAAGACTACGTACGCCAACCGCTGGCCTGCCCGTTGCATCCATGGATTTCGCTGACATTGAGGAGGCCGCCGAGCTCAAAGTTGCAAAGAGAGTCTGGGAGATCTCTGGAGCATTACCAGGTGTTGCCTCATCGCCGCCCGAGGGGAGCCGTTTATGAGGTGCCTTGACATGCTGTGTTGCACTGTCCGATGCAAATCCGGAGGGTCAGCAAAGCCACAGCCGCAGGTGACATCAGCCAGCGAGTGGATCCTGAAGAGCCTCAAGCCTTTACTGTCTGATGGGGCTTTGTGCTGCGTGCGAGTCGCAGTCTGACCACTCTTGATTCCAGGATGGGCACTCGGATCCGGGAGCCGGCGATTATCTGGGGACAGCTGAAGTTCACATACGGCCATCTCTTCATTGTCTTTTGTGGGCTTTTTGCCGCTTGCCAGCACCGGCCGCGTGGGAGTCTTTCGGTCCTCCCTCCCTTGTGTTTTGAGGTGCTCTCCTCCACGATGTACATGCTCTACAGCGCCGACTCCCAGAGCCGGAAGATCAAGAGCGCCTCGGCGCGCCACATCCTCATGCAGTCCGAGGCCGGCGCAGCTTGAGAGAAATATGTGAGCCCCCTTAGGTCCTTCTTTTGTAGCCAGCCTGCCTCATGCGACGTGAGGCTGACATCCTCCAAGCAAAAGCTCGAATTGAAGGAGGTGAAAGCTTCTCCCGTGTTGCACGAGCACTGAGCCAGCGCCCGGTTGGCATCGGTAGTCAGCCTCTCTCTCAAGAATCTGCCGTCCCTGCCAGTTGATCATGACAGGTCACAGCATGCGATGTCTTTCAGGTGCAAGTCGGCTGTAGACGGAGGGGACCTTGGCGTCTTCCAACCTGGAGAACTTCATCCATCTTTCGACCGACCCTTGGCCCAACTATGTCTGAAGCACGTCTCGGGCTCGTGTGTGTGTGTGTACTCTGTCATGACACGCTCGAAAACCCGATGCCAGGAGTTGTGTTCAACCGCTCCAATCCCATCGGCCAAGTGCTTGGCCCTGTGAAGACAAAGTTTGGTGCCTTGCCGAAGTTAGCTGGCCTGGTGATATGTCAAGCCGGAAGATGCACTCCGTGCGACTGTGCTTTCATCCCACAAGGCTGGCACCTCTTCCGTGTGGAGTACCGCACAGGCTTCAATGAGAGCAACGATTCATTCGACGAGCCGCTCGGCGATGGACCGTTGGTGCAGAGTGTGAAGGGAGGACTTCAGAGGTGACTGTGCCGCCTTTGTACTGAGTTCGAAGAAGCAGAACTGAGAGATGGAGGTTTGGACTGAGCAATCTCGTGCTGAGATGGGCAACGACAAATTATGCAGTTGTGGTGAACATGGCCTGACTGCATAAGCATAAGTTGCAGAAGGGCCAATGCACTTGCTGCTGGAAGGCGGCCTGTATCATGTGCGAATTGTCAGGCGCGCATCAGCCATGGAGGGGTTGCTGGTCGATGCTCTCATCGTCAGACTTGAAAAAAATCTAAAATATGTTGTCCGAGTTTCAGACAAATCGACCCCGCCTCCACCAGAAGCAGCTTGTAAGCCTTCCATGTCCAGAAAAACAGTTTACACTTCAACATGTTGAGACTGCTTGTGGTCTTTTCCGAAAACCGGGTAGCGCAATCTGTTGAGGAAGGCACTTGAGCTGGGGCGGTGCGTCCACATCTATCAAAGTGTGCTCGACTTTGCCCTGGCATAAGTAATAAGGCATCAGGTATGGCTTTTACATTGACCAGCAGGACGCAAGGTAGCTTTCCGGCTTATGGTTTCGAATTTGAAGCCGGTTTCATGTTGCATGTGAGGCTCGACATGAGCCGAAGTTTCGTTGGTTGTTTGAATTCCTTCCGGTCCGGACACCCAAAGCGCTACGGAGCGAGACCGGAGATCCGTCAGAAGCGAGGTGTATGGGGTCTTGGAAAGAAGTCTTTAGTCACGTTCCTTAGATGTATCTCTGTGAGACTTTGCCATCATCATCCCTTATTCAAGCAGGAACCTCCGAAATACTCTGCTGCCTCGGCCCCCAGCCCCTCCTTCAATAAGATACTCACCGACGTGATCTGCTGCATTGGTGTCTGACACCGCTGGAAAAAAGATCGTGCTTGTTCATAATGTCTTTGCCAACCGACGATGAGCAGTGATAGGCACTTCGTGCGCTGTCTAAGAGGTCTTAGATGAACCTCGAGTCGTTCGTTAGATGTTGACAGACTTGCTAGCCGTGAAGTTCAGCTGAACACGGGGGTCCAACTAGAGAAAAAGTAAGGTTCACGCGCGAGCAGGCGAGGCAAAATGCACGATGAAGTCTCCGCTGCAGGTACATAGCAAGGCATGAGAAAATAAGGATGTTCAGTATCGAAGTCTGCGCGATACTCTTTGGCGCAAGTGCTGCATCCTGATTTCAATTTGAAGCATCTGCTCCAGACCGTCTTCGAGGCTTCGTCCCTGGAGTACTACACGCTTTCCTGAACCCCTAATCTTGATCTTTTGCAAGCTGAAATTGGGTGTGCACGATGCCGTCTCCAAAACTTTTTTGTCGGTCTGTACTTGATTCATACAACCCCCAAGCCGGCGAGGTTCCAAGCAGTGTCGATGCCGGGTGTGATGAGATGCTGAGGACTGGTGGTAATTAGTTGTGCTGGAGTTTGATGTGTCTTTGACGGAAAGCGTTGAAAACCTCAAGTGTCGCAGTGCGCAGGTGTGGGGATTTCTTATACGATTCGGTGTTTGCCCAATGCTTAAGTGGCTTCGATAAATGGCCGACTGCGCTTCGACATGTGTTAACCTATCACTTGAGCTGTCAGACAGTGAGGTTCGAAGGATTGGAGTGGTGGACGGTGTGGACATTGGGTTCGGGACTCAGCGCCGGACGCATCATCCAAACCCAGAAGCCAGTGTCAAGCCGTTCGCCAGGCTCGGCCTGTTCACCAGACGGGCAGTGGCCAAGGGCATGTTCCTGGGAGAGTACGTTGGAGTCATGCCCCCTTCCGAGTGTGCACGGTCATGGGGTGCTGCAGCTTGAGTACCCATCGCTGATCGGAATCGCCGTCTTTCAGGACACGCCGCACGTGTGAGGAAGACGGCGTGCCAGCGCCTCAGAAGTTCACGCCAAAACACCAAACACACAAGAAGATGTCCATCATTCCGAGGTATGGCTTCTCTCTGCCAGTTGTGGATCCCGACCTCGTCGTCGATGCGAAAAAGTTCGGCAATTTATGTAGGCTTATAAACCACAGTGACCTGTCAGCTTTGGAAAATCGCCTGTTGCGATCTTCGAGGGCTGTCACGAGATTTGTTGCTTGCTAGCGGCTTGTCGAGGTGATGATGATTGGAACGCTGAGCTGATGTCTGTTCACCACGAGGGCTTGCTTCACGTGATGTGCCACTCGGCCGAAACCAAAACAAAACCCCATAGACCGGGCCCCTCCGGGTCCCCCCGAGTTTCAGCGCGAAGGCTCGAAGGGTCTGCTCTGCAGGCCGGGCGACGCGTGATTTGATGCCCGAGGAGCAGGCGGGGAGAGAAGGAGAAGAGAGAGCAGCGCTTTCAGCGAAGAGCTTTCGAGAGACTGAGAGAGCGACGAGGTCTTCATCCACTACGGCAAGCGCTACTGGATGCCCGAGGCTAGAAGACGTGTTCGGCTCGGACGCGCTCTCGATACATGAGAACAAGATCTACCAGCTTCTGCAGCTCATTGCTACTCCCACCTGTTCTGATGCTTCGTCATTCGAGTGCTCATCAGGGTGTCATCAGCTTGACGTGCTGGAGATGAGTTCTCGCAAGAGCTACTGACGAGCCCGTCCAGAAGCAGACCAGTCGAACTGCGACAATCGACGCCTTCGGATAGCTGCAATCTTGGAAGACTCTCGGGTGGCAAGTGTCCGACGGAGCATCTTCTGCTGCAACAGAGGTAAAAGAGAGGCTTCTCCTTTCTCTATCAAAGTGGCATGGGAGATAAGACCCTTCTCGGCTGCATGCCCCTGATATCAAGAGCACGCAACCCTGCATTCTGGCTCTGAAGTGCAGCTCATGAGGCACAATCAGCTCGTGAGAAGCCCATGCAGACACATTGGGATCAGCAGCTGAACCAGGCTTCCCAGGCTAGCTGAACAGTCACCCAACCCATCTCAGGACACGGAACCGGGTCGAAGCCTGATGGAACGGTAGTCTCAGTGACTGCTGCCGGCCATGCTGGGCCAGAAGCGCCCCTATGATCCAGGAGGCTGAGACGCGTTTGGGAAGCATGCCTCGAACCAACGGCGCACCTCAGACCTCTGGAGCGGGACTGAAACGGAGGATCTTCGAACTGAAGCCGGCACAAGCGCCAGGGGCAATGTCATGCGACAGAACATCATGGGATCCAGTCTCCTTGAAATCACACTCGCGCCTCAAGTCACGCAGGCACACGTCCCCTCGAGACTCACAAGAACAAGACGCCTGTTGACAACTAACAGGAAATGCAAGGCGAGTGCTAGCAGACACCTGCACAGCTTGACCAGAAATCGATAAACGATTTCAATGCTTGAAGAAAGAAACTCTGCCGATCACGAGCCCGTCACTCGCATGATCCCTGTGACAGGTGCAACTGCATGGCTTAGGAGATAGCGTCCGTGAATGACGGAGATCATCGACTATAGACCATAGATTTCCTCGAACCGGCTCTTCCGATAACGGATGTGGTGCCCTGCAGCACAGGTTATGGATCTTATGGTGGCTGCAGTGGATGGCACGAAGGTGGCTCTACTTCTTCAGGCGCGAGTTCATGCTTATCCCGGGCAATCCTTGTCATGTACCTGTAGTGCCCTCCCAACCCCGGCGTCCTCGACAATCGACGGGTGGGAGCCATGTCGGCTTTTCTTTTGTCACGAGCCCTTAGTAGGTTCGGTTCAAACGGCAGCTGCAGCGAAAAAGACAAAGGAATTTGTGAGTTGAAGACATTTGCAGCATGCGGGAAGCTTTGTTTCCAACTCCAGCCTGAGGAGTCCCTGTCAGTTGATGTTGTGTAAGGGTGTGTACAGCCTTTGAACGGTACAGCATGACAGACCTCCCAATCTGCTCAGCCAGAGGTGAGAAGAAAGCCAGAGCAGAGCCTGCGTCTATGACTCCTGAGGAGGAGCGGTCTGAGAGCTGCCGCATAGACATGTTGGAACTTGAGGTGAGATTTGCCTTTCTGGGCTTTGTGTGACCTTGAGCAGGAAGAGTTCTTCCGGCTGACGGGCATCAAGCTCGAAACTCAGCAACGGGACGGGACGGGACGGGTGCACACACTGGTGCTGCAGGCCAGAGCGATGGCAGGAACAGGTCGAAGAAGTTGCGAGCCAATGGCTCAAAGTGACGGAGTGCAAAGAAGTACAGAGACTAAGATTGAATCAGAGGAGCCATTCTCCCAAGTTGTTCAATGCCTCTGAGGCCAGCAGCCTGCAAGAGCCGAGCAGCGGCCCTAAGTCGAATTCGGGCTCTGCCGTGTCTGACCTGGAGCCCAAGGGTGGCTTCGTTTCCTCCCCAGGCAGTGCAGGCTCGCTACAGCTTCGGTAGACGTGGCCTCTTTTTTGCGTGCCTTCTGACTCCTTCAGGCACCTCAGGGCGTATCAGGCCTACCTGCGCCGGCCCCAGTGACCCCGCCCGGGCTTGAGGGATCTCGAGACCACAATAAGCCAGAGTCGTACAGTCGTACAGCCGGGTACCTAGTGACCTAGTGTTCGGGGGTGGGGGCTTGCAACATGGAACGAGGAGACCCCAATGCCAACCACTTAACAGCACATTGGGTGGTTGTCGGGCCAATGGCCTAAGGGTCGCGCAGAAGACTCCTGAGCCTGCCGAAAGAAAAGAGAGAGAAAATCTGCGGAAAGAAGGGGAAACCGAGAAGAGAGTTTGAGGCCGCCTCCGAATCGCCTTGCCCCATGCCGATGCCCTCGCTCCCAACACAGCCGGATGCCTCAGTCGATTTCAAGATTTCATGTGTGCCCGAACGAGCCCAATGAGCGTCACATGAGTTTCAATGAGTGTCTGGGATGATGTGACAGCGCAGGCAGGCGCAGGCCTTGGGCATGGCTTCCATGCCTTCGGCTCCCGGACTTCAGGCATCGGCTTGGGCTTCCCAGGCTCTTGGACTCTAGGGATAGGAGGGATATGAGTGGGCCAGGAGTCCTTTGCATCCAATCGGCCGCGCGACGCTCTGTTCAGAGTCCCTGTTCTCTGGGTGCCGATCTTGGGAGTAAATCCGAGGTCTGTTTTTGCAGGGCCTTCGGCTTCACCTGCGCCTTTTCTGCACTCTCCGAGCATTTCAAACTAGTCATGTAAGCCTGATCGTAGATCCTCAGGTCAATGAGATTGGAATGGCACAGCAGATGCTTCTAGGCTCGCTCGCTCGTTTGGTCGCTCACTTTCAGTGAGTAGCTGTCCTTGGAATATAAGGCCAGATGATGCAACAGCAGATGATGATGCAGATGCCGCTCGGATAAGTAGACGCACGTGTGAACTGTCGAAGACCCTCGGGCATGCGCGCTGAGCCGACAAATTCAGCTGACAGGATGTCGCAGTCAGGCTTCGGCGACTTCGGTCAACCTCAAGAAGAAATCAGGGAGGAGGACATGCTACAATCACGATGCTTCATCGCTTTCTCCTCACCCATTGCCAAAACCAAGGACCCGCTCAACCCTGACAACGATCCGAACAGGCGAGGAGCGAGGGAGGTGTGTTTTGTCGTCTCCGAAGGAATCTCTCTTTTGACAGCGTCTCACTGACATGAGGTTCTCAGGACGGATCAAAGGCTTCTATGAAATCGCATCCGGTGGAGGATATGGTTTCATTGCACCTCATCTGCACATGGTAGCACAAGTCCGCTTCTGAACTTGGTGCGCCTGCGTCACCTGTATAGCTGGCACGGCAACACGGAAACCTCAGCATGGTGTACCTGTGCCCATGGATCACATGGAGAACTCAGGATTGTGAAGCTGCTCGGATTAGGTATGGGCGTGTCTGCGACTTAGAGATCGGCATGTGCGGGCAAGCAGCGGTCACGTAGCATTGGACGATCTTTTGGCTCAGGACGTCTACCTGCACTCGAGGCACCATTCCCAGAACCTACGAGGGAGTTCACGGCATGGCGGGGTGTTTCGTTCTGCGTCCGGATTCAAAGGCAGATGGGCGATGCGAAAGTGGGTGAGCTGGTTGCAGCCTCAAGATGCTCTACGGTACCGTATGCACCTTCTCTTCGGCATTCCGCGGATTTTTCCGGTCGCCCTTGTGCCTAGATCAGCTTCACCATCGTCCGGAATGCAAAGGGGGAGCCGCAGGCCGCATACTCGTGCCATTGGCCGACTATGACTCTATGACGTTGCAGAGTCGAGCCGTTCATATGCCGAAAGCCACGGGACGCTTCCTGCAGGCAAGGAATGTCATGCGCGCGGAGGAAGCCCTCGCTCTGAAATCCAAAATCCAAGCGCGAGAAAGTTCGGCTCCCGGCAAACCTCCAGAAACTCGTAGCTGCGGAGCTTCAGCAAGGCCGAGAAACGGACGGTAACATGCAACATGCAGCAAGGACGAGAACAGGAGCAGAAGAAGCAGAAGCACCAGATGCGCATACCTCAGAGACTGCCAGCTTCACGGCTTGTTTTGCGGTATATGACAAGTCGTGAGCTGATATATTCACGACAAGCTGTCCCCTCTCAAAGTTGGGCCAGTCAGAACATCTGAACTTGAGTCGGTTCGTTCAGAATTGGCACAGGCTTGAGAAGGTGACAGTTGCAGAAAAGAGGACTGGTGCACATGCCTCAGAGCTTCCAAAAAGCCACGACACAGAGATTGCACTCCACATGTCTGGCCTTCAGGTCATGACAGAGGAGGAGGCCAACTTGGATCTTGTTGGGAATACCAGACCTCCTTTCTCCGGGCATAATGGAAGAATCTTCCGCATCGTTTACGGGAGCACTTCTGCATGTAACAAATCTGTGTGCTGGCTTCTCAGGCAAAGAGATTCCAGGCTTCGCTGCGGAAAAACAGACAGTAGCCTTCGACGTGAGGCTTCTTCCCCGGGTTCACCTTTCTAATGTCCTGCAATGAAATGGATCCTTCGGCACTACGGTGCCTCCAAGTTAGGCAGCCGCAAGTTCAAAAGAGAAGTCTGAGCAAGGTGACGATTCAAAGATGGTATTTGGAACATGGCGATTGCAGGATGTGCCGTTTAGTTCTCGTTCCCATCGCGTGCTCGCGCCATCAAAGACTTCGTGAGGCTCAGGTGCGAGAAGCTCAAAAATGCATGCAGGGGCCTGCTCTTCTGAACGTTTAAACTGGTCAGTCAACTGCAAGTACTGTCGAGCCTGGGCTGTGCTTCAACCAGATGCGCAGATCAAGGAAAGAGTCTGGGTAGCGTTGAGCGTTGCCGAGCATGCCTTCCGTGGGTGGGTACTGTACCTTTTGTGTGAGACCTGAGATGGCTTTCAATAACTCGTCCAGCGTTTGCTTTCGCAACTGCTGCCTAATAACTCGTAGCAGGCACCCAGGGCTGCATGGCTCGCCATGGGGCGAGAACCTCTGCCGATCTCCGCTTCCTGAGTCTGAGATGAGCGACGAAGAAGAGGAGGTCAAGGCAGCCAACATTGCGCGCAAGCGATTCGACGGTTGTAATGGGACGACTTGCAGGTGAGAGTCGGAAACCCGGATCTTGTGTTCAGGATGCCGCAGGGTCCAGACTATTGCGAGGCAGCTCGGAGCTTGGGACTGGACGCCCGCGTCGAACACTTGTTGCATTTCTTTTCTTGTGCTTCTGACGCAGTGAAGCCCGGTTTTCCCGAAGATGCAGGGCACGCGACGTGTCTCGCACGTCGTGGTGCTGCTGTCGCGACTTGAGGTGTACATGGGTTGACACCAGAGCAGCGGCAGTCACGTCGGCTCAACGATGCTTTAGCGTCAATGCAGAGCCCCTTGGCAAGACATCGCCCTTGGATTGGCAGATTTGGGTGAATTGTCGATCATGGCATTCCGAAAGGTGCTGGAGAAATTCTGAACTGGTGTCAGCGGCACTTTGGTTGCAGCTTTGTTTCAGACCTATCGGGGACAGCTCCTCTTACACAGACTTCATGCAGGCGGCAGCCACAGTTCGGCGCTGTGCACCTGGTCACTGCGCTCCACCGCGTCGCCAAGTCGCCCGACGGTGCGGAGGTGCGCGGACAGAGTCACCACCTCGCACATGTGTTGAGTCCGTGTTGGGCGGATGGGCACACGTTAACCATGGTCGCTGAGCCCAATTTCGGAGCTAGCCTCTTAATTCTTGATCATCTGTACCGCACAGCCTGACGACTCTCGCAACCAGCAGCATGCGCCACTTGTGCCCTCGATGAGCAGAGTCTGACCGAAGACTGCAGGTCGTGTAAACACAGAGCTTCCAGAAGCTATTGACGGATGCCACAGGCTCAGGCTTTGTGGCAAGAAGTGACTCAGGAAAGAGAGGGTCTATCTGACTTGTTCTAGGCTGTAGGTTCAGAAGACTCCGAGGTGCTTCACCTGGTCGCGTCACCCACAGAGCAAACCGGAGAGGCGCTGCATCGTTTGATGTCGTGCTCCTCCTAGATTGGATGTTGGGCACAGGCAGAGATGCCTCCAGCGTCGGGATCCCAAGAATATTCTCGAGGGGACGTTCCCGCAGGCAGAGGCGGCAAATCCAGGTTGATGCAAGATGATGCATGCCAGGTCCCCGCAGCACTTGTCCAACGGTGCATGGGCTTCGGCGGTCTTGGCCGTGCAGCGTGAACCGACCTGGAATGCCACATCTGTATTGAGCTAAGACAAGCGGCCATGATCAGGAAGGTTCAGGACAGTTGCGGGCAGAGCATGAAGAGGTCGCTTCAGTCCAGCGCTAGCAAGACCTAGATCCCCAGAACATGTCCGGATCTAAGCAGCTTTCGGGCAGAGGAGCAGCATTATGGCAGAGTCTGCTGCGCTGTTAGCTAGCATTTGACAGGTCAAACACAGCACGAGCAATGGCCGTTTGCGATCTGCCTTGTCTTTGCCTTAGGATACTGTCAGGCCCAGGATTTCCAAAGTCAGAGTTGTGTGCCAAACTTCGACAACAAAGCATCCATGTGCGGACGCGGAGATGTACACAGTTTTACAATCGCTGTCGTTGTTGTCGCGGTGGGTGTTGATCCGCTGAGGCATGCCTTCGACTGGAGCTACATCATGAGGGGCGATGCGACAGGTGCATGTCTTGGACTCCCAACTATGTTCCACCCTTCCTATACAATTCCTGCAGGTTGTACATCCTGGGCCGCACCCTGACTGCATGCCAGACCAATTGAGCTTCCTGCTGCTGTCTCCAGCGTGACAGTGCGAGGAAGAACTTCGAAGACTAGCGTCCACAGTGAAGTCGCGAAGTCGTGGCAGTGCTCAAGAGACGGAGTCGTCCGTTCAGATGCTTTAATAAGCTCGAACTATCTCGAACCGACAGGACGTCGCGTACGCATGGGGAAAGATCTTTGATCTGCGACGGGGCGGGAAAACGCAACGGGGAGAGTTGTTGAGCCTCTCTTTTGTTTTGGGGGGTCGGGGGCAGCCACCCAAGGTTTGGGTTGGAAGGTCTCCTCCCAGAGTGTATGGAACCGTGAAATCCGTGAAAGCTCCATTGTGCTGAATTTGTCCAAAACTTGACTTGGGCGCTCTGCCTCCAGAGAGGTTCAGGAGCCAGGAGTGGGGGATAGTGGGGGAGAAGGCCGGAGGCAGGCCTTGGCGTTCCAACTGACGACCTGCAGGAAGGCCGATGCAAGTTATCGCCCTGTCACACTTGAGTCATGCACACAATGAAAGGCAGCAACTGTCAAACACGGCGCAGGAGCCGGGTTCTTATCATCATATTATCCGCGAATGTTGGGGCTGGCCTTCCTGCTCCATGGCCTCAGGCTTGGCGTCATGAACCTGAGAGACCAGGCCCTGATGCTCGCAGTCTGCGGACAACTGCAAAGAAAGGCTGGACAGCAGTGCCTCCATGTCTAACGCTTTCGTGTGTGAGATATCGTGCACAGGTAGGTCACTGTGACGTGCAGGCCGTCCGTGACAAAAAGAAAAGCCACGAAAAGATCCTTCCTGGCACTGTCAGGAGCTCGTCAACACGGGGTAGGCCTTTGCCAAGCCGGGGCTATGCTGCCGGCCTCTGATGGATGCCACCAGGACAGCGGGTCTGTTTAGTGGGTATCTTCAGGCTGCTCAACGTCTTTTCTCCTCTTCTTCCTTCTCTGGAGGGTTTGCGAAACCGGGCTGCTACATGCAGTGTTCTGCCACTAATCAGTCACTAGTCATGGTCAAGCTTGGCTCGAGAAGCAGTGATAAATGGCCTTCAATTGCATATTGCTCTTGAGAGGACAGAAGCTTCGCGCAAGGTGGCCAGGCCAGGTACTGAGATACTGCAAGTGCTTTGCCAGCACGGCCAAAAAAGATCCTTGAACTTGAGCCTTTGGCAGGTACACAGCCCGAGATTCGGCCAACAGCGCCTGAACTCTCGCAGTGCCCATGCTGGTAAGTGCGCCATTCATGAAAGTGCTCGGCGCACAGAGGCTTTGGAGTGCAGAGTTTGTCTCTTTCAGGCGCTTTCTTGTACATGATGTGCATGTCTGGAAGGCAGATCCGAATCCATGAGGGCGACACGCAGGCGAGGGCAGTGGAAAAAGTCCAAGCTTGTGGACCTCGTGGTGTGAGTCACGTGTTGCGGTATGTTGCGGTGCTTTGCAGGCTATCTCCAACACAGCCCGAGCTCTTGCCACACTCCTGCTTCGCGATGAGGCACCAACCAAGCGTGTGTGTGTGTGTGCGCCATGATGTATGCTAGCTTAGCTGATTCCAGGCATCGACGTCCGCTGCATCTTCCGCAGTTCCCCCCTCAGCTTGTCCACGGCACCGAGTGTTCTTTTGATGATGACATACTGGCAGGCGCTTTTGCGGATGCCTGAGTTCGACGAGCGAGAGCCCCGGCGCATGGTTCCCATCGGCGCTGATCCGAGCTAAATTGAGCAAAGGCAGGGTTGTGCGACCATGGCCTTTGCTTTCGCCGCCTCGGAGATCTGGCGCCAGCAGCCTCAGGACAGAGCGGTGCAAAGTGGGACATGTCCATGACACTGCTACAGGCCAGCCGCTGCTCAATGCTTCGGTGTCACAGTGCATCTCTGACCCACACTCAGACAAGATCAGAAAGCTGGCTCCACATTACATTACTGAATCGAGATTTTTCGTCAACCTGCTGGCTCATCGCGTGCCCCGCAGTTGCGTGTTGGCCCTGGCTTTCGGGCATCGCATTTGTGGAGCCAAACTTCTGTCGCCAACAGCAGCAGGTCATCTCCTGGACACATTGGCGGCATCGGTTGAGCGCAACCGTGGCTCTTGGGATGACTTGTGAAGCAGTTTCACTTGCCAGAAAGACTGACAGATTCATTTGCCAATCTGCATGGCTGGAAAAGTCCAAGTTGGGTGGACTGGGGGGGGGGGGGGGGGGGGGNNGGGACGGCCCGAAAATGTGTGCAGTCCCGAATCAAACGCAGCCTTGCATTCCAAGACATGTGAGCCAAAGTCTGTTCTGCTACTCCATACAACCCTGTCACAGTAAGTTTGCAAAATCAAGCCCGACAACAGTTCCTTCAGCGGGGTTTGTAAGTTTCTTCCCGGCCATGGCCGCTTCTCCACAGGCCACGGCTCCACATGGAGTGTCAGAATCGACATCGCGATTCTCAGAAGCTCAGGCCCCCCGTGCCGAATCAGCGCGATTGTCGAATGGTGGTGCAGGCAAGGATTATTGTGAGCTCTGGCAGAGGTAGCTTGACGCTGCAGAGCATGAGTGCAGGTTTGCACGCGTCACAAGAGTGTTTGTGAGCAACTGCAGCAGGTCGAGAGAAAGATGCGAGTTCCGCGCACGGGAGAGAATACATTCGCTTTGAAGTCGTTGACTTTCACTGCAAGGCTGGGTGACATGGTGTTTTGATTTCCTGGTTTGCTAGTTTGAAGCCGTTGCTGAGGCACTTTCAAAGGTCGTGCCGGCGCGGCACAGAGACGTCAAAGTCTACATGTACTCTGGTGCCCTAGCATATGGAGCAAACCAGGACCGGACCTAAGTTGCGAGTTGTTTATCTGCATTCGTGACTCGCTTGAAGCCTCATGTCAGGAGGTGATGTTGCTCCCAGATGAAATAGCTGCTGCCGGCTGCCCAAATGCCAAGCTCGTCCCAGATTGGTCGACTGAACAGGTGTGACCCGTGAGCCAGTAGTGAGCCGTCATTTTTTCATAGTTTTGCTGATACCTGTCGCCTTGCTGGATGCAGGTTCTGCCATGGGCGTGCCGGCCGTCGAAAAACATAGTCGTGAAGCGCGTTTACTGCGAAATGGAGGGCATGAAGCTGGGGCCCCGCTCCCTTTGCGGCCGAATGCTGGCCGAACTGAAAAGCTTTGACGGCAAAGGCTATGAGCTCCTGGCAGGCTGTCGTTAGACCGATTGGCACTTGAGATGAAAGTATGCAATCAAGCAAAGTTATCCCTTTTCGTAGGCGGCGAGCTCGAGTTCGTCATGGCTAAATGCACTTTGATAGCATTCTATGCTAGGTGTTTCTTTCACATGCCTCCGGGGCGCCTGCTTAGGCAAAGATGGATCCGGCGAAGTCTGGGAACCGATGTTCAACGGCCCTGAAATCTTCACTACCCTCCAGACACTCAGCTGAAAGCTGTGTTGAAAAAGAGCTGTTTGCAGAGCAGTGAGGTGCACAACATGTTCATCGTGTGTGTTTATGTGTCTCCTTTCGAGTCTGTTGTTTAGCAGCATCGCCGGACCAAGGTCATGCAAAGCCATCGATTTCTGCTACGACATGGAAAGGCACATGGAGTCCGTGGGGGTGGATATCCTCACGATGCCTCTTACCTGACGGAGTGGTTTGGGGTCCGGGTGTTGAAGCCCTAGCCTGATGTACTGGCCATCCACCAGCGAAGGAACACCGAATACGGCAAAGGCCAGCTCGAGATCACGTTCGCACCAAAGTTTGGCATTGAGGCTCCCGACATGACTGCTACCTTCCGAACGGGGACAAAAGAGCAACCTGACTCTTACCATCTTTGTGCGAGCACTCGCAGTTAACTCGCACCCCGGGTCAGCATGTGACCCAAAATTGGCTGCCTGTGTTGACTGAGACTGAGGATGGCCCAAGACCTCGGCCTTCGTGCGACGTTCATGGCCAAACCTTTCGGAGTGGCGCACTTAGCGCTCTTTGCACTCCCGCCTCGCAAGGACAGTGCTGTGCAAATTGGTTTGACAGAGGTCAGCGGAGTCGGGAATGGTGGACACATGAACTTCTCAATCTGGATGCCTGGTGGTGTCAGAGGCAGCGATCCAAATGCATCTCTTCTGCACAAGAACACAGAGAAGATAATTCGCGCTGCGTCAGTAGCAGTGCCCGTAAACAAGACTTGAAGATGTCACTGAGGATGTCGTTTCGAGGGTCACCTCGGGGAAGCTGAATGCTTTCCACTCCTCTGAAGATGCCAAAGGGTTGTCGCCGGCGGCACGATCGTTTTTGGTATCTTGATTGTATCGCACGGGAAGCGAAAGCTGCTTGTTGTGGACATTGTCCTGTCGGAAGCTGCGCCAAGAAGTTTTGGTGAACGGAGGTCCAAGGCGGCAAACCGCACATGAAATAAAGTATCTTCGCGCGACGGCCACTGCGCCGTACTTGTTTTTTGCATGATGCCTGCCTTTCAATTGTCACGCCTGCGCCCATTGGCGTGCTCTGCCCCTGCTGTGCGAACATACTTGTATTTTTCCAGATGTGTTTTTGCTTTAAAAGGGTGTTATCCGGTGTAACTAAGCTCTGCCGCCAGCTTTTCCGAAGTTTGCACCAAGGCAGGCATTCTGGCCCATGCCCCAGCGCTGGACTCTTGGCTGATGCATGTTTTGGGCGGCGTTTTGGGCATGTTAGATGCCAGCATTCAGAGAGTGTTGGGGGAAACAGGAATTCGGGCAGTGCAGGAAGCGCTTTGCTCGCCCACGCCGCCCTGTTACTGCCGTCACGGCAACTGGGCGCCCACCGTGGCGAACTGGGGTTTCGACGATCGAACTGCCTGTGTGCGAGTGAAAGCTGACCGGCGGGGCCCACAAGGGAGCTGCTACATGGAGCTGCTCGCCCTTGAAGCTGATTCCACAAGTGCAGTGGCATTGAGAAGCAATCGCTTTTGCTTGAGCCTTGTCCTACTCAGGCTGCGAATGCCTGAAGCCCAGCATGGGTAGATCAGGCTCGAAGGAGCTGTGCCTGCCCATGCAAATCAGGCCTTCTGCGGCAGCAAACCCGTATTTGGCTTTGACCTCAGTTGATTTGTTCCTTTCTTTGCGATGCTGCAGAAGTTTCCTTGGGCCCGCTTGATGTTTGTACTTGTGTGTTTTTCACGAAGCTGCAGGTACTCGCAGGTCTTGTGGCCAGCGGTTTGGATGGGCTTCAGCAGGGTTTGGACCTGCCTCCTGAACGTCAGACGAAGGCTTGCCGAGCAGATGTTCCCTGCTTTTTTCTCACTGCAGCCAACCAGCTGCTAGCTGCTAGAGCGATCGATGGTTGAACAAGCCCACAACAACGGGAAGTTGCTGCCGGGATTGCCTCCAGAACAAGACCCCTCGAACCCTGGTCGATCCTGGCCTGCGCGTGTTGATGCTTGCACCTCCCAACAAGCCGTCAAGCTCTCGGCCGAAGCAATCTAATGGCGGGGCTTGTGCAAGTCGTGAAGTTTTTGGGGATCGCGGGTCCTGTGCAAGAACGCTCTTCTGCGAGTGTTCGAGCATCTTGAGCCTCGAGCCTGCAGACGCCTGTTCAGTGCGATCGGCCAGGCAGACGGCGCTGCGGCGCTGCCTACCGCCTTGGATGAAGCCTTGCGAGCCTTCGAAGCTGACAGCTACCTGGTCCCCCGGCAGCACAAAGTTCTTGCAACATGGGCCCGCATACGGGTGAACAGCCAAAAGCTCGAAAGGTTTCTAAGCTTGGCCAGCGCTTTGTGCGATGGCTGCTCGGTAGCATGCGGATTTTGGTGGGCTCAGATTCTCGTCCTTGTGACTCGACTTCTGTCCTGGAGTCCTGGAACCCAGTCCAGGTACGTGGATGTGAAGCGTGCTGAGCTAAAGTTTATCGAGGTCGAAGCATCATCCATGCAGTGTTGATGGGAAGAAGCTGCTGCCACAGATAACATTGCCATTTCACAGGAACGCCTGAAGGGTACTTCAAGCACGGACGAGGACGGCCAGCCATCCATCAGTATCAGCATCTTTCTTGTAATCTGTAACTTTGTAAATTTGATTGCTCCGGCTCGTGCTCCACCGAACCACCACAGAAACAGACCGCCGCTTCCGAACAGAATGTCGTAAGACACCCATGTTGCAGGACGTCAGTGCTGCTTGGCAGGCACTGTATTTCGAATTCGTTTGAGAGGCGATTTTTGTTTAGACCTTATTCATAGCCTTGCAGACTGCTTGAAGCAAGTCTTGCAGGGCCATGTTTCAACACCTTTTGCCCGGCCACCGCTGGCGCCAGCACAGGTCGGCACAGACCTAGACGCTTTGTCTGCCCTGGCAACAGCATAGGAAACAACGAAGCGACTCCACATCTTGGCCTCTGACATCCACAGAGCAACTGCTATTGCCAAAAAGGCAGGCGCACAGCGACTTTGTAATTTTGGGAACCGACAGAGTATCTTGTGTTCCCTGTAAAGCCATTCTTGGAACCCTGTGCCAGCAGCTAAATGATTACCAAAACCACCAGGCTGCGACTGAATGCACGCGGACGGGCAGAGTTTTGTTTTGCGTTTGAGGTTTTGCAGTCTCGCATTTACCGCCACTTTACGCACAAGCCGGCGGATCGCTTCCTATCGCTCAGTTTTCACGTTGGTGCTGGATTGCTTCAAGCTGCACAGAGTAGAATGCCGAGGCACCCTTCAAGAACCCGCTAGCTAAAACTAAAGCGTGTAACAGCACAGCTTGCCAATCCAGCAAGCGGCTTTAGCAGGCAGCCCCCACCAGCATAGCACAGCTGTCAGGGATCTCTGGAGGATTCTGGAGTCTGGAGGTCCCAGTCCTCAACCGACACCCACCACCCCTAAGCGCTCCTCAACCCCAAGGGCAAATCCTGCACCTGTAGTTAGAAGTGCTGGGTATCTCTTCGAGCATTACAAGAGAGTCCAGGAAGCTGTTCTTCGCAGTAGTTTCTTGTAGCAATGGAGAAGACTGCAGTGACCTGTGTGTCCTGGCTGCCGCGTGGCAGCTGCAGTGGACGCCTCGTCGGAGCCCAGCAGGATGAGGCCGTGGACCTTTGGAATTGATGTGCCAATTCACACTCAAATCATACCGGTCATACCTCGCATCAACGGTGTTGGGTAATTTGCATGCTTGCGCATTGAGTTCCTCGCGCGCTAGGAGGATGATGATGCGATGAGGGAGGCAGCCGACGTGAACAACGCGGTTGCTGGGGGATCTATTCCCGGCTTGGAGGCATCTGTCGCAGTGCGCTGGGGTGCCTTTCTCGAACCAAAGAATCTTCAGGAGTTCGATATGGAGAACTACGACAACGACGCTGATGAAGGCGGCAAAATTGCAAGCTGGGCATGTGTTCGTCTTTGAGCAGTGGCTCGTTTCATTCCCATTTTGAGGCATGCAGTTCTTCTCTGTTCTCGATGCCGATGGCGAATTGGCACGAGAGAAGGACCCACACATGACCGGAAATCCAGACTCAGATTCTGATTCAGAAGGCCAGGGGGAAGGGAACGAGAGGGCGGTTGGCTTGCCGGGGCACTGGCAATGCCAGAAGTCAGAGGTAGTCCCTGCAAACTGGCGTGTCGTCTGCAGGTGATGTGGAGATTCGGCAGGATGACCATGTGTTCGTCGCAGCTTCCTGCGAGGCCATCATGCATCAGACACGTCAAGCGACTAGAGCGATGAGCAAGACCGGAGCCCAAGTGAAAGGAAGACTGCTGCACCCTGGAGCTCTATGTCTTCGAGGAGGATGAGGTGAACATGTATGTGCACCATGAAATTGGCCTTGCAGCTTATCCGCTGTGCGTGGAGTGGATGGGACGGACGTCCTCGAGTGACAGCGGCTGCTATGCTGCTGTGGGTTCGATTGATCACTCTATCCAGCCGCTTGGCATGATCTGAATGCCCCGAACCCTTTTCCAAGTGATGTGCAGCTTCGAGATCTTCCGAATCTGAGGCTTTGGAACTTGGAAGAGATGGACCCTCTGGAACCTGCTCAAGCCAGCAGCTTACATCAAGCCACGTGCTGCGTAAAGCCGACTTCCCGCCGAGGTCCTGGGCGCTGCGCGCAAGCCCGCCAAAGCCAAGGGCAAGGCAAAAAGAAAGAAGAAGCCCTTGGGGCCCAATGAGGTGAAGGCTGTCGGCTGTCGGTAGCCTGCCGCCGCCACCCTCTGTTGCCTGCTGAAAGTTGGATCGGCAGGCACACGACGGGCCAGCACGCTGCCTTAGCGCTTGTCACTGGTGTACAGTGTAGACTGCAAACACGCCCGAAGAAGGGCTCGTGCATGAGGTGCTATGCTTGCATGCCAGTGCTTTCAACCCCTCTGTGCCTTGACAGCAAAGAGGGGCGGGGGTCTGTGAAGTGATGCTATCATGTTGCACACATGATAGCCTTCTCAAAAGGTGCTTGCGAGTGGCTCAGCAGATGAAACGCTCAAGGCCACATCACATGTCCAAACAGTGCTTGAGAAATCCCATTGCAACGTGTGCCACAGGTGTGGGACGTCACCGATGGTTCTTGCGCGCATACTTTCGAGCATCACTCCGACAAGGCAACACAAACTCCTTACGAGCGCTCTACGGGGTTCACCGTCAGTCTTTGTCGCAGGTGCAGTGCGTGAGGCTGGTGCCTGATCATGGGTGCAGAATGTGCAGGCATACGCATGTTGGCGCCTCGGCAGCGAAGGTGGCATCCAACCGAGCAAGCCGTGCTTCTCACAGCAGCCTTTGACCGGCAGCTGGGCCTGTTGGATGTTCGCCAGCCGAAGCAGGTGCGCTGCATTGACCGAAGCAGTTGAAGCACTTCGTGGATGGCTTTCTTGTTGCAGTCATTTGTGGGGCTACTTATTAACATTATATAGTATAATGGGCCCCCAAAACCCTCCTCTAACTAGTAAGGCCCCTACATTAAGAGGCTGCCCTGGCTTCGCTGTCGGGAGAAGCGGAGTGCGCCATTTGGAGCCGGCCCTGGCCTCGGGCGCCCAGGGAAGACCTCAGATCCGTTGAAGATCCGAGGCACCAGCCTTTCCAGTGTCTCGCGAGCACCGACAGCGGAGGCGGTCTAGTTGTTGAAAAAGTTAGGACGATTTCGATTCACTAATTTAGGGTTTTGGTTGTTTAAAACTTCGGAGGGTTTCCATGTATGGTTTGGGTCGGATGGCCTGGGGTTCAGGGTTCACATATCTTGGGCCCTGAGGAGTTTGCTGCTACGATGTGCGGAAGATCGCCTCCAAGGCCCACTAAGACTCAGCGTCGGGTGGTGTTGGTGACCTTGAGCCCCTTGGGGCGAATCGTGTCAGGCCAAGGACCAGGTGCTGTGGACGTTGATGGCGCATGACGTGGCTTGCACGAGCATCCAGGACCCTTGCAAGCCAGAATCAGGAAAGTTCGGGACATTTTCGGGAGTTCCTGCCTGCCGCGCCTTCTGATGAGATGGCTGATTCAGAGATTCACTTCGTAATGCCTCGTAGGCCTCGGGGTGCCCTTACTGGTACCAGGATGCACCCGCGCCGGGTATCCTGGTCACCGCGGGCCTGGACGGCCATGCCAAGGCGCGAAAGGGAATTAACAGGAAGGAGAAGGGACTAGCTGCTCTTTAAGCATCTCCTTTTGTCGTCGTGCGCAGGTTGATGGGACTTACTGTGGAGCTCTGTCAGCTTTGCTGCAACATCTCAGGTGTGGAACATCGCAGGCTCTGGCCCGCAAATGGTTCTGAGCAAGAACTTGCACGCGGGCCCGCTCGAGCCTCGGAGGTTTGTTGGCGAGACTGTTGCAGAACCTGCTGCATAGTGCCGTGCTACAGAAAACGTGAGCTGTGTCGCACAGCAGTAAGACAGTCTGCACGCTGGTGCTGGTGTTGGCGCTTCTGGTGGTGGTGGTGCCCTCGTTTCCGGCTGTCGCTGCCGGGATTGCCAGCTGCTGGTGCTGGTACTGGTGCTTTTTCTGATTGTGTCTTGCCGTTTCTTTGCGTTGACTCTTGAGCTTGTCCGGTCTTTCTCGCAATATTAACAAGTTTGTGCTTGCCAGCTGCCAGTCAATATTAGTTGAAGTGTTCTTCTCGGCTTTGTGGTTGTCACGACCTCCGTGGAGCTTGCTGGAGTTGTCGGTTGCCACTTTACTGTAGTAGACCACCAGGTGAATGGTAGCGGCAGTTGTTTCGGTTGTTCCCTTGCTCGTCCTCGTCTTCGTCGTCATAGTCAAGATCCTTGTGGTCGCAATCGGCCAGGGCTAGCAGAAAGTGCTGGTGACTTGAGATCTGCACCGAGGATTTTCACCTGCCAGAGCAATCCGGACATGCCGGGCCTCATGTGTCTAGCTTAATGTCAGAGACGTGCGTAGGCCGGTAGTTGTTCCCGCCATTTCCCGCTTGAATGACAAATTTCCAGTCAAAGGTGTTTCGGTGGGAAATGCCCAGTGATGTGGGATCTATCCAGCGAGCAGATCCTCCTCGATGTGTGAGAATCTCAACAGTGTTCGCTTTTTGCTTTCGGTTGGTGCCACCTTGCAATCGGAAGCTCAGGTTCAAGTTGGAGTCCAAATAAGAGGGCGCATCGTCGATCTGATTGCAGATTCCATCTGAGTCCTTTGTATGTCTGTATGTATCTGTAGGAAGACAGTCTCCGCAAAGCAAGCGTATATGCAACAGAGGCCCTACTTGGCAAGAATATCAGATAAAGCATATTAGCAATGTGCAGTGCTCGTCCAAGACAGCACTGCAGTAGCGGTTAAAGCACTGCCTCCTTGGCAACAGGGCATTCCACCAATGCCCTGAACCGATCTTGGTGAGAGCACTCGCTCAGCCTCTCATCGTCTCTGTGCAGCTTGAAGTCCAGCCAGCGTCCAAAAAAAGTAGTCCTGCAAGGAATCACTTGGCCACCTTGCGTATGGCATTCGCATGTTGAAACGCAAGCAAGGTTTGAGCACCAGACGCTTCTTCCGTCCAGGGCGTGGTTTACTTCTAGGGTTCTTCTTGGGTTTCTGTGTGTGGCATACGTGCGGCAGTACGTTGGGCAGAAGGAGACCACGTCGGTAGGATAGTTGTACCACATGCAACGAAGAGGTTGCAGTTAGTATTCAAGCTAAGCTTAGTGGCAGTGGTAGTGGTAGCAACCCTGGTGTAAGCCTAAGCTGGCGGGGCATTCCAGCAAAAAGTTGCACATGTCAGCTTTTGGTAAAACGAATGGTGGAATCTTCAGGGACAGTTGTACCCCTTGTCGTATGCTTCGGGATGGTCATTCGATCCATTCTGAAACATGATTCAATCCACTGTGCCCACGATGGGCAAGTGGCAAGCCTTCTGCCAAATGTAAGACATCATGAGGTGATCCATGTCGTTCGGTGATCGTTTGTCCGGTTTTATTGCTGTGCTTGGCTCAAGTAGCCAGTTTTCCCCTGCAATAGAAGTTTAAACCCCTTGGTGGTGCAGGACTCGGCCAGTCGAAATGGTGTCTTCGTGCGCTAGTACGTCGAGGTTTTGATTTCCATGACAACACCATGAGCGTAGGCGTAGTCAAACAGTCTTAAATCCCCGATGTGCAGGACACTTCTTAGCTTCCTGGGTCTCATGAGAGGATGTGAGTACCCCCCGAAACGTGCCACCAAACCCTGAACACCAAACTCTAAACAGCAAAGCAGGGCGCACTTCTGACTTTTCATTATTGTAAACTTCGTATCTCGTTATCGAGAAGTGCCAGGAGCCAGGAGGCCATGCTCGGAGGCGAGGCGCCTCGCACCTGACCCAGTCGTTTCTGCTTCACCTGCTCGGCTTCGGCGTCCTGCGCGCGGGAAGGTAGAAGTTCAGTATAGATACGAGCTTCCAGCAATTTAGTTAGAAGCAGTCGAACCGGATTTCATGCATACATGCATACATGCATACATGCACACATGCACACATGCACACATGCATGCATGCGTACGTACATACATGCACACTGCATACATGCACGCACTACATGTGCATGCATACATGCGTACGTGCATACATGCACACGCACATACGTGCGCACATACACAGGCACATACACGCATACATACGTATATGTACAGACATGTATGTAAGGCAATGTACACTTTGATAGGGGGATGTATGTGCGTAGGTACAGAATATCCACGAATTGCAAGATGTGCATGCGCATTTTGACGCCTCCCGTACAAGGTCCCAGTCATGGCCGTCGCAGAGCAGGCCAGCGCAGTCAAAGCGACTGCAGACAACTGTTTCTCAGTGGCTGAGCGTGCATGCGGCGAATTGTAGCTGCCTCCGAGATTCAGGTCTGCTGACACTGGCTGCTGCCGTTGTGATGCTTGCTCAGTGTGTAAAGCATGCCACGGCCCCAGTGGATGCTTTACACCTCGGTATCTCGGTATTGCTGTTGGAGGGGCAACTTGTTTTGCCTTGCCGTGGTTCAGGTAGAAACCTTCATGATGCCTGCCCCTGTTGGGTCCTGAGTGGATTTGCCTGAGAGACTCTGCGTGGCAGTGGTCCGGCTTTCAGAGGAGCAGTCGGTGAAGTTTCTGTGCAGGCCAAGTCAGTGCCGCCGCGTGCACAGTCCATGTCTCCGGCGGCTGCGTACAGCGCAGGCCCCTTGCCTGTCTTGATAGAGTGCTTTGGAATGCCGTTGGAGATCCACGAAGCGCGGCAGAGCACACTGAGTGCTTGGTGACAAACTGGCATGCTGAGGACAGTCGTTGATGGTCGGGCAGTGGGAAGCTCGTACGCTCGCGCGTGCCTCTGCAATTGGGAAGCTGCACTCGTTTGTGGCTTCAGCATAAGGTCGACAAGTTATTATTGTAGCTGTTATTGCACAGTCACTATATGTCTACATGCCTGCATGCCTGCCTTCGCATGACACTGTGGCCATGCTGCCTGACACGTGAGCAATGTAGAGAGTGGAGGGTTCGCTGCGTCAGTGCTGAACAGGCTCGCCCGGCACGCACGGCTCGAGAGGCGATGGGGGCTCTAGAATCGAGAAGGAGAGTTTTCACTGCCACTGGGACAGGCGGGCACCGTGCTGAAGGTGATGCTCGGAGTTCCCAGCGCGTTAATGCTGCTCTCGGCTCAGTCAGATCTCCCTCTTTGCATGTTGGTCTGACAGATTCTTGATTGATGCATCTCGACTGTGGGAGTTGTGGAACCCCTCTACAACAGTCAGTTTCCTCAGGCTCAGCACGTTCATGGTGCTGCGTGGCTACAAGCAAGAGGTCGGAAACGGTCCGCCGCTGAGCGGCCTATGTAGATTCAAAGTTCTGCCCTTGCTTCTGCATCTTGAGAATGGGCTGGGCAAGAGGTGACGAGATGCAGGAGAGATGGGCAAGCTTCGCGAAGAGGCCCTACCCGGAATTCCAAAAGGGAATCCGTTTTAAGCCAACTGTGGGCCTCATTGCCATGGGAGGCCGAATGCTCGCTTCATGTCCCTTATGGCTGGGGCGGCAAGGGTGGGCCTCATCGCCTTGCGCGCGAAGTTCACGCGTGTCGGCTCCCTACTCTGTAGAGTACTCGGCAGTGACCTCGGCTCAAGACATGTTCGTTCCATGTACTGCTGGTTGCTTATCGTGCCACGTAATTCAATCAAGCATCGGCTGGGAGATAGGCAAAGTTCGGAGATTCATTGAGATGCATGGACTGTTTGTTCACAGGACGAAGCAAAGAAGCCTCCACCTAAGGACACCTTGCGACTTGCGTACTCAAGACATTAGCTGGACGCTATCATCTTACGCTTTTGATGAGGTCTGCCATCCACACCAAAGCCGGCAAGCGAGCTGTGACAGTGCTGCTGCCACGTTTTAGCGTTTGGTCAGAGCTTTCAGAGCACACAGTGGCAAAAATCCCATTACAAGACGGCCCCATGTTATGGCCCGTTTAGGCTTCTTTTCGGCTCTCGGCAGGAACTCGTGAGACTTGGGCCTACCTACGTGAAGCTGGGGCAGATCCTCTCCTGCCGTGAGGATTGGGTCGTGCTACAAAGAGATTGCCTTGTGTTTCTCCTACCTGGCAGGACCTTGTGCGCAAGGAGTGCGACCCATCTAGTAGCTTCTCACATGGTTGCATCATTGTGCAGTCAACTGCGATTGCGTTTGCTAATTCCTGGCTGAAGCAGAATGTGCTGGACTGATTTCGTGCATATTCTCATGCGGCCATCTACAAACAGAGATGAACCATTCGCCAAGCTGCAAGCTTAGCTTCTTGGCAGCGAGTACGAGAACTCAGCATAGAGGGAATTGCCTCAGAAGCCCACGTAGATAGGGTAGTGGCGTGGGCCCAGCTGCGCAGCTGGGAGTCGATGAGCCCAAGCTCTGAATGTGAGACACCACGGAACCTCAGGCGACGCGATGCGTGCTTTGCGAAATCTTTTCGTCAGAAGCTCGTGCTTGCGAGCAGGCTGCGACTTGAGGCTGCACTGCAAGTCCTCGCCAATGGCAGGCGGCGGGCCCAGCCCACTGAGTTTTGTCGCTTTTGAGCCTCGGTTTTCCTCGCTTGCTAGGGCCCGTGCGGCTTACGGCCAAGAGGGGCTCAGAGCGCTGCAGCAGTCTCTGAAGGTTGGAGCCGGGGAGCAGAGGGAAAGAGGTGGGCTGTGGGCTTGGCCCAACGCACTTATCGGGCCCTGCAGGAGGCGGAGCAACGCCTGGCCCTGGACTTGCGCGAGGTGCAGGCGGCACCGAGCAGAACCAACATGCGGAGTTTTCGAATCTTCATTAAACGGAAGTGCGACCATTTTTGCGAAGGAGAGCACCGTGGAACATGCGGCGATGTATGCTAAAAATCCGGAGGCGCACACTACAGTAGTAATGAAGCGGATTTTCTTTCTGTGGCCGTGTGAGGTTCTGGGAGGCATGCTCCACCTCGTGTTTTGTTTGGATTTGGTTCACCAGTGGGTGCAAAGCAGAGATGACCAGATCAAGGCCGGGTTCGCTCTCTTCAAATCAAAGGACTTTCAAAGCTCAGCGAAATCTCAGGAGATGGAGCAGAACCTGCATAAGGCTCAGCAGAGCATGGTGCAGTGCGAGGCTCAGGCAACTGCCGAAACTTCACTGCAGCCATTCGCAATATGCAATACATTCAATACACTGTCTCCAGGTGCACCAGCCTTATGGACCAGTTGAGCCTGGACGTGAGAAGCTGCAAGGAGAGCCTCGCTGTCAAAGACTCAGAGATCCTCAGAGGATTTGAGCCTCCTAAGAGTTACCAGAGGTCTCTTTCTTTAGAGCGCCAGACTTCTTCAGTGTGTCGCTTGCGTATCTGCTTGGTCCTGAGTTTCTCTGCAGCCACGGGCTCGGGCCCAGCATTGGCCCAGCATGCAGAGCGTTGCAGCTGGCTCCTAGTCCCGGGTTTCTGTAGTTTGTCCTGGAACGCATGAGCCGACGATCCTGGTAGTCTAGTCTCCTCTCCCTTGCGGCACAGCTGCAGACAAACAGCCCACATTTTAGCAAATTAGCAGACACCGCGACTACAAGCGAAGATGCACAGACCACACCAAACAACAATCGCCAACAGACATCAGTCTCCAAGTTCTGAAGCTTTGCTTCGTGTCTCCTCGACGAAATGACGCAAGTCGTCATCGATGCCGCTTGCCTCTTGAAAAGCGGTACTGTGCCATACAGGGGAGCTGTCGCTCTGTGTGCTCGGCATGGGAGCGTTTGAGGTCCGAGCTGGGCAAGGCGACTTGCCGAAAGCGGTTCCATCGAGGGTGAGCGCCAATGTGGGATCAGCTGATGGAATCTTTTGTAAGCAGCCACGCAACTTGTCGTGTTGCCGAAGACCGAAGAGTGATGAGAGGAACCCGTCGTTTATCGCCTGTGTGTTGCCGTTTGATCGAAGCTCTGTTGTGTCTTACAAGTGTCTTGTCCATTCTCTTGTTGCTGGTTTTTGTTGTATTGAACCTGTGACGTGTTTTGCCGTTGTCCGGAGCCGTGGTCGACGGAAGCGGCAGTGACAAAGGAAGGAATCGGGTGTGGCAAACTCAAGCAAGGAATAGCGGCTGGGCAGCCAACCCAATGCGGCAAGAAGTGAAGGCCAAGTGTGAGGGCAAACCAAGCAGGTCAGGGACTGGATGCTAACGAGCGACGCCACTAAGACGCTAAGAAGCTGCAGTTGTGACGTCTAGCCATGATGTTGTCCTGAACTCTGTCGCCTGTGTCTTTTGTCGCCCACGCCCCAAAAGTTATTCGGCTATGAGCTGAACGATGCACCACTGATTTTCAAGATGCCAGTGAACATCTCCGAGATTCAGCCAGGCACAGCACACAACACCGGAACAAGCACATAGTGTTGGCACCACAGCCAGAACGGAATGGATGTGGCGTAGGCCATCAACCTCTACTCAAGCCTTCGATGAACTACAACTTCCTGGGCAGAGGTAGTGGGTGGACGAAATCAGGAGGTATTTGGTGGCCGCCCGTCTGCACTCTAGAGTAGCCGGCTGAAAGTATGTAAACCCTCCCCCGGCTGACAGCATACTCGGAGTCCGGAGTCAAGCAGAGATGTGCATCTACGGTACACAGTGGCTTGCAAAGCTGCGCACGGAATTTTTCTGAGGAGCACCTGGGATGCATCTTCGTCGCAACAGGAAGCCTGCAGCGAGTGTGGGGCACAGTGTAAACGCGGATGGAATGCAGCTTGGCAGTGCTTCGAGCGCACTCTTATCCAGCTGGAGTTGCTACAAATTTGTGGAGATGCCAGATCTCAGGCACCAAATGGGCAGCGCTACTGCTGGTCCTGCTGGGACCAGTGGCATGCCATGCCACCTCCCCTTCCGGCAGCCACAAACTTTGATAGAGGCGGACGAAGAACGTGGCGGAAGGCTCTTCCCCTGAAGCTGCTCTGCGAAGATAGCAGCATGCATGGACGTTCCTGACTTTCTCTTCTAATGCCTTCAAGGATTGAGAGTAATAATGAAGGATATCAGCCCATGGGTCATCGTCGGGAAGGCTGCAACTGCGACGGCTGCAAGAGCTGCTGCGAAGCGACGAGAAGCTGCCAGCACCAGAAAGTTTCGGGCTGGTGGTCCGGTGCGCACGAAGAAACTACGCCAAACACAGACAGCACCCTGTCATCCTGCAACCCTCGTGAGCGCCCGCAGCGGGAACCGTGTACTGCAGCATTGACCGCACGGGATCTTCCGGGAAGCAGCTAACTGCCTGACTGGCATGGGATATCCCTGATATCCCGAAAAAAGCCCGAACAAAGTCCGAAAGAGAAGCGATGGGGGGCTAAGATCATCATCTTCCTTTAATTTTGCTTTTTTTCGTAGGAATGCCAGAGAATTGCTAAACTGGCCGCTGGCATCTTCGGATTTCAGTCGTTTTTTGATCGGAATATTTCTGGAATGTGTTCGGACTTTCCGTTGGCATGTTTTCGGATTGCAAATGGATTCAATTCCTGGAACTACATTGGTGATGCCGTCGGGGGGGTGGGGGTTCTTTTTGGGTATTTTTTTTGTTTTTTTTTGGGTATTTTTTTTGGTTTTCGGCTCAGCGGCTACTTGAGTCCATAAGACGGTCAGTCAGTCAGTCAGTCAGTCAGTCAGTCAGTCAGTCAGTCAGTCAGTCAGCGAGCCAACGG